ATTGGAGCACGACATGATTTCAGTCAATTAAAACATCAAGCTACACCAAATAAAGCTAAACAAATTCGTTTAAATTATCGTAAATTAAAACAAAAACATAAAAAAATGACAAAAAAACGTGGTTAAAACATATGAACTTGTATATTTCACATTTATAACAAAAATTATATCAATGAAATGTGTATTCAACTTATTCTTTTGTCTTTTGAAATATTGAAAACATGAAGTTCAATGAAGGGATCTCTTTTGAATGAATTCATTATCAAACTGTTAAAGTACTATAAGCAAAGATGGATAGTGGCTAGCAGTGGAGTCCAGGATTCGCGTTTCGTCCTGTTTGGGACTCGTCAGCTGGATGTACCTGCATCTCAGAATTGATGGTCACTCTGGGACTCGAACTCAGTACCGTTAAGTACCGCTAAGTGGATAACGCGATGGCGTTTGAAGCGAACGGTACTGAGTTCGAGTCCCAGAGTGAACATCAACTCTGAGATGCAGGTACATCCAGCTGACGAGTCCCAAACAGGACGAAACGCGCGTCCTGGATTCCACTGCTAGCCACTATCCATCTTTGCTTACAAATGCTAGTAAATTAAAGCAATATCGAGGCATACGCACAGTATGCACATATGCCAATAAGAGACTGATCAATTTCAGTCTTAAAACATCAATGGGAAGATTCAAGTAAAACAATATCAAGTGTTAAAGTACTAGTTCCAATAAGGACATATGAACAAGACATAATCATGATGATGTAATAGGAAAAATTACAATACTAGATTACGTAATAAGAATAATGACAATAAGTCAGTAATGAATTATAATATATAACCTTTAATTATTGTAACGAGAACATTTAAGGTTCTGGTTTCTAATCCCCCGAATGGGATCGTGGATGCGCACTGCTGAGGAGTCCCACAATAGGACGAAATGGCCGTCCAGTACTTCCAAGTTTTCTAAGGTGGTCTAGCTTCAATTGACTCATGATCTCAACTATTGAAAGATATTTTAATCATTTTACTGTATTCACATTATGATTCTTTACTGACTTATTAAGTTTATTGTCATTATTCTTATTGCGTAATCTAGTGTTGTGATCTTTCTATTACATCATCATGATTATTCCTTGTTCATATGTTCTTATTCGAACTAGTACTTTAACAGTTTGATAAAGGTAATAGAGGTGTGAGCAATAAATGAAGTGATATCATGAACAATAACGAATAAAATCATACGAATATGAGATAAGTCAAACAATAGGATGTACTTCTTTTGTACGCAGAATTTTTGGCTTGAGATCATGGATAATAAAAGCTTCTGCTATCTTAAAGAGTTGGATACGAAGAATTCTATGTAGATTTAAATGAACCTCATACACAACCTTAAAACCAACCTGTGGATCAGTAGAATGATTAGAGTCGATTAAATGTTCAAGAGTGGAAGTTTAACTGCTCCCCTATCACTTTTTCAGAACCACATTGGGACATGCTCCGGTATCTGAGTTGAAAGCGAGCGCTGCATACGGCCAATGTACCTTGCTTCACAAGAGCAGGTGAATTGGTAGATGCATATGGAGGCGACCAGACGGAAAAACTTATCTTTTATGGATATAGAAAACAAGTTCTTACTAGCGAATGTTATTCGCAGTTTTGCTGAATAGAATGTTATTTTTATCGCTACCGTTAACCGATTTTTAGTTATATCACATATTCGGTTACCTTTAAATTCCAGATTTATGTAAAGGTATTTCTTTGAAATGGAAAAACCGGACTCTTTGTCGCTACATCCACTCATATTCTTCTATATGAAGCGGATTGGATAGCCGCTTTTCTGAGGAATGCAAGATCTTCGTCAATACATTCCGCACTACACATCCGTTATATTCGGTAACAAAGAGTGAATGACATTCCTCTTTCTGCTTCGAGGAACCCAGCTATAGAAGTTGGTCAGCTGACCATTCCATGTTTGTTTTCTAAAAATGGATCTTTTTGAGGAACAAACAATCCTTCTCGTCAGACGCACATCGAGAAGAGATTGGTTGACCTGCCTCTTTATCTAACGTGGCATGAGTTAGAGTGTAAACTAACTGTTAATTCAATATTGTCGTCACAAATGTGTCGTCCATGAATCTTACGTATAGATTAAATCAAACTGAGTTGGTTGTTTTTGAGTTTCGCCATAAAACAGTCTGGTAATATTGGACACAATAGAGTCCCTATCTCTATGTCCATATGATTTCATTGTTGAAACAGAACTGGGCATTAAAACTGCAGTGTAACGATAGTTCTTTCAAGTGGTCAGTTGATAGGCCTATATCTATGTTGTTATGATCAATATACTCACATAAATAGGATGTAATTTCAGTTAAAGATACACAAGTGATAACTACAGGGGCATCACACTTCTCTCATTGCCGGGAAAAGTCTTCAACAGGGTATTGTTAAACAAGATAAAGTATTCCGTAGACGCCCAGCTTCGAGACCAACAGGCAGGATTCCGTAAGGATAGATCGTTTACAAACCAAATCGCAACTCTACGGATCATTGTGGAACAATCAATTGAATGGAACTCATCACTCTACATCAACTTCATTGACTACGAAAAGGCATTTGATAGCGCGGAAAGGACAACACTATGGAGGCTTCAATACTATGGCGTGCCTACGAAGATAGTCAATATCATACGGAATTCTTATCATGGATTAAACTGCAAAAGCATGCATGGAGGACACTAAACAGACTCGTCCAAGGCAAAGACCGGTTTCAATAAAGATTGCCTACTCTCACTCTTTCTCTCGGTGATCGACTGGATCATGAAGACGTCAACATCTGAGGGGAGGCGTGGGTTACAGTGAACATCTAGAATGTAGATGGATGATCTAGACTTCACAGATGATCTGGCTCTTCTATCGCACACGCAACAACAAACTCAAGAGAAGACGACCAGTGAAGCAGCAGTAGGTCTCAATATACACAAACGGAAAAGCAAGATTCTCCGATACAACACAGCATGTAGCAATCGAATCACACTTGACGGAGATTTGGAAGATGTAAAAACCTTTACATATTTGGGCAGCATCATTGATGAACAGGGTGGATCTGATGCAGATGTGAAGGCGCGAATCGGCAAAGCAAGAGCAGCATATTTACAACACCAAGGTCAGGGTTTTCAATACAAATGTCAAGACAGTTCTACTGTATGGGGCGGAAACCTGGAGAACTACAAAAGCCATCATCCAGAAGATACAGGTGTTTATTAACAGTTGTCTACGCAAAATACTTCGGATCCGTTGGTTGGTCAAACACTATTAGCAACAACCAACTGTGGGAAAGAACAAACCAGATCCCAGAGGAGGAAGAAGCGCTGGAAGTGGATAGGACACACATTGAAGAAAGCACTCAACTGTGTCACAAGACAAGCCCTCACATGGAATCCTCAAGGCCAAAGGAAAAGAGGAAGACCAAAGAATACATTACTCCGGGAAATGGAGATAGACATGAGAAAAATGAACAAGAATTGGATGGAACTAGAAAAGAAGGCCCAGGACAAAGTGGGTTGGAGAATGCTAGTCAGCAGCCTATGCTCCATTAGGAGTAACAGGCGTGAGTACACAAGTGAATAGAGAACATGAGTTTTCCAGAAGTATTAACTTCTTTAATACTATCAGTAAATTGGAAGGTATCATGAACAGAATATTTAGATACATGCCTTCTAACTGGTTTCCATCTTCAGCCAACCATTTGGGGATTCGATATATCCAAAATAGTTCGTAACTTTAAACCAGGTTTATGTACTTTCGGTAATCCATATAAGCGCGGGATGATCAAACCTATTAGACGTATATGACCATATAAGTCTGGGGTGATTATGAGATTTTTAACATCACTTGGCTGTTTTTCAATTTACGGTGCTTCGTTTGCTTTGTCATAATTCGTTACTAACTTATTAAGTCTACTGTTATTATCCTTATTACGTAATCCTTTTATTACATCATCATGGCTTAATATCATATGACAGTCTGCTAAAGTTGAGTATAAACAATAGTCCATATGTAAGGTGGTTGGATGTTGTTGGTAGGAGAGCCTGCTTCACCAAGTTGTCTATTACCTAACATTTGTCAGCAAATCACAACTAAAAACACGAATAAACTGATCTTTGCGGGATTTGAACCACCAACTCAATCTGAGACATTTTCCACGAGCTGTCTGGGCCGTGACTGAACTATAGAACTGAGATGTTTATAACTGACCAGTGACTAATGACATGTTTATCTAGACCTTATTACTGATCGAATTCTATCTGCCTAGTTGTGATGTGCGAACCAAATATTCGATATTGTGTGCACTATTTTTTGATGCTGAATGTTGTTGACAGAAAATCTTAAATTTAGGCTTTTCGCTGGTTGATATTCGTCAACAAAGTGCATCTACAATCTTGATTTTCAACCACTAATATCGAAAATGCTCCATTTACTTCTATTTAGGTAGTTCCGTGTTATAATTAGGCAAATAAATGAAAATGTGAAACTTTGCATGCTATTCTCCACTAAATCAGCGATTGTCAATGCATGGTTAGTAAAATGTTAACCTATAATTATTCTAATGTTCTAATCGTAAGCTTCCTTTATTCCTCAATCAGAAATTATTGTTTACTAATTGTAAACTACTAGTTAAGTTCATATAAAAAAGATCTTAATTATGTACATGTTACGACTGACTGAACTAGTGTTGAATGTATATATGAATACCTTCCCTTGAACTATGAGATTCTTTCTACGAACAAATTCTTTCCTCCTGTACTATATCCTTATATACAATCTTTCTTTTATATATTACCACTATTGAATTAAGTACTTCTATGAATTCGGTGTTCATCTTATTATGCTAATGAGGTATGGCAACTTAGATCGATGTATATATGTGCCTGATCCTACGTTGTAGCTGACTAGATTGACTAATATGTATCTGAAGTGTAATAATAACAACAGAAATAGTTCAATGCACTGATCTATCTGATCTTCATGATTTGGAGTTATCGATCGTTTTAGCATATAAATGAACTACAATAAGAAGGTTAATAGTTAGTAGGATATACAAACAGATTAAATTATAACATTATGATGCATGTACCGTTAGTCTATACGCTTCAGGGTCAAAAATAAATCAATTCCATTAATTCTTTTAATTTTCAATGTACAAAGAGATTAAACAAAGATTTGTACAATGGTGAATTGAATTACAATTTGTTAATAATTAAGCTGAATGTATTATAAGGGATAAGTGTAAAGAAGCAAGAACACAAAAATGATGTAGATAAATGTTGAACAAATAAGTGTCTGATTGAGAAAACGATCCTGGATCCTGGAATAGTAGATCCTATAGGATACGTGAAAATCTTGGATATATCTATATATGATAAAAAGATTGAAAAAAAACAACAACAACATCTGGTAATGTGGTTTATGAATTTCTATTATGTTGTAAGGAATTTAATAAAAAGTTGGATTCAACATTCCATTCCATGGATTAGAACTTTAAATAGTGCTTCAAGTAATCTGTGGTCTATACACTAGTGACAACCTAGTTAAAAACATTCTGTGCTTGTATTTATTTGATTTAAACCCATAAATATGAGTACAAGAAGGTATCAAATAGATATACGCCGCATAAATCATTCGATTTATGGGAGGGCTGGGATACTGCGCGGGTGCCCAGACCGAAGTAGGTGGTTTCCTTAGGGGACCACAGCCGGAGCCTTTGACCTAAAGGTCTGATCCACAACGTAGTGGAGCAACGTTAGGAGATGCAAGTCAAAATGGATTCCACTGCTAACCACTATCCATCATAGCATACATTAAATACTTCATTTGCAAACGTCCCATCAATTGCCATTCATATTCTGTATGATTCTTCCGATTCTCCGTTCCTTTCTATTTTCCTCAATTACATCTTCTTAGTCTTCTGTTGCCAGGTATCCCAATTATGATCGGTGCTACATACTGCTTATGTCCAAACACACAGATAGCATACATCACACTATCTGAATTAATAGGTATTCAGTGATTGTTGCTTTGTTATGTCTTACAACTCCTGACTGATATCATGTGACAAAAGCACTAATCAGAATGTCCATTTCTATAACTTTCTCCATTACCCAACCAACCACACACTAACCAGCACTATTAACCTTGATTCACTTCCGAATCCTCATTGGTCCTCGATTCAGTAACTTTTCTCCTTAGCTTGACTGTTGAGTCCAGAACACAGTAAACACCCTCCACTATGCAAATATTATATTTCATGCATACGTAGTTTATACACAGACACACGTGACCACATTACATCATAAAACGATAAGTGACAATTATATGATATGATCAAGCCAAACAGTGGCTGTGAGTAGGGAGACTCTAAAATGATATGAAATTTAATTGGTTGTCTATAAGTATTACCGACCGAATACAACTCTGGATGTATCCGGAGATATATTAAAGCTTGTTAGAAAAACAAAATGTTCTGTTGAATTCCGAAATAACTACTTCACAGGAAATTATTTAATGAACATACACGATTTGGACCTTATTGGTATAGATTGTATAGACAAACTAATTCTATGAGGTGTACTATTGAGCGAAATATGCACGATGAAAAGTTCAAATAGTCAAAGAGGTCTGCCCATCGTTCGTGTAATTAAGAAAGCCATGACGATAGAAGTCCTTTTGTGGAAACATACAGACTTGTTCCAGAATAAGTTGGGATGCTGCAAAATTAGCAAAGCAAAATTATACTTACGACAAGATGAGAAGTCCATCTTTCGTCTAAAACGTCAAGTACCATATGCGCCCATTGATAGAGTTGACAATGAATTAAACTGACTAGAGTCTCGTTGTCATACAACTCAGCCCAAATTGTAGTAATTCAGGATGCAAACGGAAGTATTTGTCTCTGTACAGGCTTTTCAACTGAATTAAATGGTGTTTTACCAAATCATTCATATCCACTACCCTTACCAGATGACTTATTTGTTAAACCAAACGGTGGACGTTATTTTCCCGAATTAGTTCATTTAAAACTTACGAGTGAGAGTTGACAAAGTTTCAAAGGACTTCCTAACCATTATTAATTACCACGGTCTCAATTTATCCGATTACCGTTCAGTGTAAAGCCAGCACCAACAATATTCCAGTAAATAATGAAGACTTACATGTGGAATATATATGGGTACTTATATTTCTTTTATTATAAGCTCTCAGTTGACCTATTAACTACTGTTATATGATCTACTATTCTTAATCTCTTGACAGTTTGTTATTTACAGTCTACCCTACTCACAACTTGTTGACTTGATCATATCATAATTGTCACCTACCATTTTATGATGTAATATGGTCACGTGTGTTTGTGTATAAACTACGTATGTTTGAAATATAATATTTGCATAGTGGAGGGTGTTTACTGTGTTCTGGACTCAACAGTCAAGCTAAGGAGAAAAGTTACTGAATCGAAGACCGATAAGGATTTAGAAGTGAATCAACGCTAATAGTGCTGGTTAGTGTGTGGTTGGTTGGGTAATGGAGAAAGTTATAGAAATCGATATTCTGATTGGTGGTTTTGTCACGTTAGTTTGAGGCCTGAAGTCATAGCAAAATGTGTATCCTAAATCAATTGGACTGAAGATTATAGTCTATTTCTTAAAACTACAATTCAAAATACGAACAGTTATATCAACTTAAACTTAAGGAGATTAAAGAATGAAAAGAGCCAAGAATTTAATTTTACCTTTTTATTAAATTAATATAGATGGATCAATTTCAGTGATAGTAGTACTAGTAGTGATTGGTTCTGTCTTAACTGTATTCGAGTCGGTACTACTAGTTAATTGTTTAATATTGGAAGTACTGTGCATACTTGGCAAATGAAATCCATTTTTAGGGAATGAAGAAGCGAATGTGTTGAGAACAGTTAAAGCATTTGTCAATGTAGTATGATTCATTGCAGATGTTTGGTCGGCAGTGCTAACATTAGGAGTAGAGGAAGAGTCTAAAGACGTCGCCGTTGTGATTGCAGGACTTTTAAAGAAAAAGTTGGGAAGTGATTGTGCCAACTCAAGTAAAGGAGTAGGAAGTGTGGAAGATTGTTCAGCAGACACTGAAAACAATAAAAAATAAAAATGAAAATACAAGGTTATCAGCAAGAAAATCAACTTTATTTGCTAATTTATTTATGGATACTCAGGAAATATTTCAGTCATAAGTCGCAAACATTCTGTTCAGTGTGACTGGTTTTACTGAAATCATCCTGCTGTTTATATTAAAGTGGATGATATTAAAAATGGATAATACAGTAAGTAAACCAGAGAAACCATTTCGCATGGATACCAAGTTAACAGTTATAACCCACTGAAACCACTATACATAAAGAAGTCGAGGTTTACAGTCGGACACATTACTTTGAACTCTACCTGCAGCTTTTATAGGGTTACTGCCGGTTACCCAGATAAAGGAGGGGGGCGGGTATGGGGTTAGCAAACTTAACTCCTAGAAACGACCTTGCTAAAAAAAACGCTAAACAGAATAAATGATTTAAACCATTTAAACTCTGAACGATCTTCATTCAGAAGAATTATAACGCCTCATGGTGAAAGCCGAGACACTTCCTAATTCACGAGACTGATGCCGCGGAAATGGTGAGATACAACTTGGCAGCGCTCAAAATCAGTGAAACATATCGGATACAAGCTGGACAGAAGAATACAAATTCGGGAGATGCTGCTGTACTCCGATCATGAAGAGGAAAATGCTCAACACACTCAAGGAGTTGCTCTGATGATGTCCAAAGAAGCACGAAATGCATTTGTTGGGTGGGAATCTTATGGACCCAGGATCATAAAAGCATCCTTCAAAACAAAGAAGAAGGGAATCGCAATCAATGTTATCCAATATTATGCACCCACTAATGGTAGTAGTGAAGACGATAAAGATCAGTTCTACTCGAGGCCGCAATCAATCATAGCAAAGTGCATAGGAAAATTACATGACCATACTGATGGGAGACTTAAAGGCCAAAGTCGGAATGGACAATACCGGATATGACGACATGGACTTGGAGATAACAACGAAAATGGGAAGAGATTTGCAAATATATGTGCATTCAACAAATTGGTTATCAGAGGCAAAATATTCCCACACAAACACATACACAAAGTTACATGGGTCTCACCGGATCAAATCACGGAGAACCAGGTAGATCATATTTGTATCGCTGAAAAATTCAGAAAGTCAATGGAAGACGAGAGAACCAGGAGAGGAGTCGACATAGCTTCAGATCACCACCTAGTGATTTCCAAGATGAAACTGAAGCTAGAGAAGTTTTGAAAAACTGGACAAACAGCATTACAAAAGTTTAATACAGCCTCCCTTCGAAATACTCACAAACTCAACAAGTTCAAGATACCTCTCAACAACAGGTTACAAGCCTTACAAGATCTACTTAAAGAAGAAAATACCATGAAAACAACTGGAAACGGATCAAAGAAACACTAACTTCAATGTGTCAGAGGGTTCTGGGCTTCGAGAAGCATCATCATAAGGTATGGATCGCTATGGAAACCATAGACAATATTCAAAAAAGGAAGAACAAGAAGACAACAATCAACAACAGCCGAACAAGAACAGAGAAAGACAAGGCACAAACTGAATACATGTAAGCGAACAAGCAAGTGAAAAGGAGCATTAGAGCCGACAAGCAGATATACATGGAAGACCTGGCAACGACAGCGTAAAAAGCTGCAAGAGAAGGAAATATGGAACAAGTATATGACACGACGAAGAAACTGACAGGGAAATATAGTAAACCAGAGAAACCAGTCAAAGACAAAGAAGGCAAACTAATCAATGAAATTCAAGAAAAGAAAAACAGATGGGTGGAACACTTTGAGGAACTCTTAAATAGACAAGCTCCACTGAACCCACCACACATTGAAGCAACACACACAAACCTTCCTATAGGTGTCACTCCATCAACGACTGAAGAAATCAGCATCACCGTCAGACAAATCAACAGTAGAAAAGCAGAAGGACCAGACAATACACCACCTGAGGCACTGAAGTAGCTGCAAACATACTCCACGTTGTATTCAGGAAGATTTGGGATGAGGAACAAGTGTCGACAGATTGGAAAGAAGGACACCTCATCAAAATACCAAAGAAAGGAAGTATCAAAAAAAATTGGAAAACTACAGAGGAATCACACTGCTATTAGTATCAGGAAAGGTTTTCAACAGTGTTGCTGAACCGGATGGAAGGTTCAGTAAACGTACAGCTTCGAGATCAATAGTCTGGGTTCCGTAAGGGTCGGTTGTGCACAGACCAAATCGCGACACTACGGATCATTGTTGAGCAATCAACTGAATTGAACTCGTCAATATACATCAACTTCATTGACTATGAGAAGGCATTTGACAGTGAGGATAGGAGATAGGCAGTTTAAACCAAACAGAAAGGCATTTAGGTGGATATTTTAGTATTCCGACACAGCGAACAGATAATGGTGATCGTCTGCTGCAGCTATGCTCAGACAATCGTTTATTTTTAGCAAACACAAATTTTAAGCATAAGGAGAGACATCGTCTAACATGGTGACCCCCTACACCAAACCAACGATGGACTCAAATAGACCATATTGCCATCAGTCATCGTTGGAGAGGGTCGGTAGAAGATTGTCGCTCATTCTGGAGTACCTGCTTGGACTCCGACCATGCCCTAATACGGGCACGCATCTGCTTGCGCCTCACTGGACGCAAAAAAGCCGCATTAAAAAGACCCGTTAGAACTGAGTTGAGTAACGAGAAAACCAAAAGTAGGTTCCAGAACAACTGAGGTCACACTTAGGTAGTTGTGAAGACGAGGCTGACCCAGATGTTGCTTGGAAGGGCATACAATCAGCTGTGGAAACAGCAGTGACATCTATTAGTGACTTAAACCACAGAGTTGCAAGGAACCAGTGGATTTCTTCAAGGTCTGTCACACTGATGGATTCTCGCAAACTCGTCCCATCAGGTTCTGAACATGATGAAGAGCGAAAACAAATCAGATCTAGGTTAAGAAAAAGCCTAAGAAACGACCGTGAGCAGTGGTGGGCACGAAAGCAAAAGGATGGAAAAGGCGGCGACTATAGGGAACACAAGACAGCTTTACAAAAAAAAAAAAAAAAATGGAAATAAAAAATAAAGGTAAATGGGATTTTAAGAAAAAAAAGACAACACCCTCTTCTCCCCCGTCCGGGCGTTAAGAAGGGGGGGAGAAACACTTAAGGAAGTTCGCCGGCCTTTACCAACTACAACCCTCCCCCCCATCCCAAAAGGGGGAAGGAAATATAAGGCCCCCCCCTTTTTAAAATTAAAAAGGTATATTAAATAAAAGGGGGAGGGGGGCGGGCAGGGGTTTGGCCCCAGGGGTTTTTAGGGGGGGGGTTCAAATTTTAGGGTTAAATTTATTATATTTTTGATCTGGGATTGGGAATTTACTTTTCTCCCTTGGCCGGTCCATATCCTCTCTACAAAAAAAAAAAAAAAGATCAAAATTACACAAAGCAAAGAGGTTAAATAAAAAAAATATAAAATAAAAAACTCGCCTAATAAAATCAAAACCCAAACAGAAACCTAAAAAAAAAAGAAAAACCTTGGCTTGCTGGGGGGGCGCCCACACCCAAAATTTCCCCTTTTTTGGTTAAAAAAAACTCCCTCCGGGGGCCGGGGGTGTTTGTTTTTTTAAAATAAAAGACTTTGACCGGAACCCGCGGGTTTGGGGTGTTTAGTGAACGCAGAACTAAAAAATACATAAACGTGTAACTCTAACACCACACTCGAGTCGGGGCTTAGGGCGTAGTGCCATCTTCTATTTCCTTTTCAACGTGGGGGGTCCTCAAGTCTTCCCCCTTTTTTTTTTTTTTTTTACATCAATAAAATAAATGAAAAAATAACCCCTCGACTCGGATTTTGGGTTTTTTCCCTCCCCAGTTCCATTAAATACAAAAAAAGAAACTTTTGGTGTTGGGGGAAAAAAAAAAAATTGGGTTTCTGAACAAAAAACCAAAAATTGGGGTGTGGGGTCCCCCTCTCTACCTAAATTTGTTGTTTGTTCTTGGGGCGGCCCCCCAAACAAAGAAAGGGGGGAGGGGAGTAAAGGGGAACCTTTCACATTTCATTTATTTGGAAGCCTAGCGTTGGGGGTTGGTGACACAAATCAGTCGTTGGCTTTTTGCACTTTCGTCACCTTTGCAAGGGGGGATGCCGATAAATCAAAAAAAAAAAGACGGGCCGGCCTGCCTCGGTCCTTTTTTCCTCTGAAACGGGCAAAAGAAAAAAAAACAGAAACACATGAGATATGAACATATCCTAGAAATATTAGTATATTTTGGGGTAGGGGAGGATAGGGTAGTGATAGAGGAGGGGAGGGGGGATAGGAAAGATGGGTAAGAGGTTAATATTTTGATGTGATGGCGGGACGGTGCATGTACGTAAACGCCTACCCCACAACGGACGGGGAGGGGGGGGGTGGGAGGAGGGGGGGGAGAGCAAAGGCAGACAAGGAACAGACCAATGCTAATCTCTACTACCTTATGGTAGTGTTGGGATTGGGTGGGGTCGGGGGCTTCGACAGGTTTAAGGTTTGGTGGCTTGGTAGATCAGAAATGGCGTAGGGTCTCCCCTCTTTCCCTTAAACAAAAAATCAAATACTTTCATTTTTTTCTTTCTTCTTTCTTTCTTTTTTTTCATTCTTTTTTCCTTATTTACCTTTCACTCAACCAACCAACCAATCCCCTTTTCTTTTTTTTCTTATGTGGTTAGGAACCGGGACGGATGCAATGGCCTGGCTGTTTGGGGACTGGACCTTCCTCGACACTATCATGTGCCTGAGAAGATTGCCAACATCATACGAAATTTATACGACGGACTACAATCCAAAGTTGTGTATGGAAGACAGCTCACAGATGCATTCCAAGTGAATACCGATGTCAGACAAGAATGCTAACTCTCCCCCTTTTCTTTTTTTTCTGATCGTTGACTGGATTATGAGGACCTCGATATTTGAGGGAAAGCATGCAATAAAGTGGACAGATTGGATGGAACTCTACGATTTGGACTTCGCAGAAGACATAGCTATCCTATCTCATACACACGAACAAATGAAGGTTACGACAGTGTAGAAGCAACCTCTGCATCAGTGGGCCCCAACATACACAAGGAAAAAGCAAGATCCTCAAATACAACACCGAGAACACCAAGCAAATCGCATTTGATGAAGAAGCTCTGGAAAAGGTGGAAACGTTCACGTATCTCAGAAGTATCATCGATGAACAAGAAGGATCTGATGCTGACGAAAAGGCCAGAATCGGCCAAGAAAGGACAGCATTTCCATAGTTGAAGAACATATGGAACTCAAAACAACTTTCAACAAATATCAAGGTCAGAGTCTTCAATGTGAACATTAAGACGGTTCTATTGTATGGAGCCGAAACTTGGAGAGCTACCACAACCATCAACAAAGAAGTATAAGTATATATAAACAATTGTCTATGTGAGATATTGAATGTCCGTTGGTCGGATATCATCAGCAACAGCCTACTATGAGAGAGAAGAAATCAGATTCCAGATGAAGAGGAAATTAGGAAAAGACATTGGAGGTGGACGGGACACACACATTGAGGAAATCGTTAAACTGTATGACGAGACAAGCGCTAACTTGGAACCCTGAAGGGAAACGGAAAAGAGGAATGCCGAAGAATACAGTGAGTCGGGAATTGGAAACAGACATCAACAGGATGAATAACAAATGGAAGGGATTTCCCAGGACAGAAGTTGATGTCGAATGCTGGTGGGCGGCCTATGCTCCTCCACAAGAGGTAACAGGCGTAAGTAAGTAACACTATACACTGTTGTGATATTGTGAGTGGAGGTAATCACTCTATTATTCCACCCACGTATATAATTTGTAAGATGGCTATAATTACTGGCGCGAGACCGGCTAATGTAAGGAAGTTACTTGAAAGAATACTTTCTGGTGCTTATTCACAAAATCAGAGAAATAACGTTGTTACTTTCCAAGCTTCCGATTGAAAAGTACATCCATCACCATTACAACTAATATTTGTTCCCGTTCTCTTCGATTCGATCTTCCTAACATTCTGTTGCCGGACATTCTATTTCTAATTGGTGTTATATACTACTTATGTCGACATAATTAGCATACACCACAATATTACTCAGCTATCTAATTCGAAATAGTTTATGCAGGATTTGAATCTACGAGGCACTAGTTAAAAATAGAACGTTATAATCATTAACATTCACTATTTAATTGTTAATTTGATGCTATTATGTTGTGAAAATTCATGCAATATGAGTGAATCGGGTGAGAATATAATTTATGGACGACCTTTGAGCGACGCTAAAGTGACCATGAGAGTGTCCACTTAATATCTAGGACCGAATGGGGGTTATAAACCAGTGTGAGGAATTAGAATTATGATTTACAGTTGATGGTTAAGGTTAGGAATTAGATTTAGGGTTTTCATCACGAACTGACATCAGCTATAATGTCAAAACTCAATTTATCCAGATGGATGAGTGAATTTCGCGCCAAAATCCATGACATATTATCTTATCCCTGATTGGTTTGTCCATAAATTATAGTCTCGCCGTGAAAAGTCGTTCAGCAAGTTGGAGTAAAATCTTTTCAAATAACTGTTTAGAATTGGTGTTAAAAGTGAAATTAAAACAGTAAATTATGCAATATACACACTAGTCTATTTGATTAGATTAAAAAAGACAATAACTACTAATGAATACTTAAATTGGTTTGAAATAATCCAATCTTACCACAATTAGGATCTGTATTGTTTGTATTGTCGGTAGACTTGTGTGAATTAGGCGTAAATTCAGAAGTTGAAGACAATGCTGATAGACCAAAACTTGAGACTACAGCTGATAGAACTGCAATAGCTGTAAGATTTGGATTATTTGATGACCCTGGTGGCACAATACCTAATAAAGGTGTAGGGAAATCCGATGATGTTGTTGATTGTTGAGTAGTGACAGGTGATTGAAGTGTAGATAGTTGATTTGAGGTTGATAATAATGATGATGATGATACGGAGTTATCATCAGTTTTCACACTGGTCGATTTATCTGAGAAAACAAAACATAATCATAAATTCTAGTCTTAGGGAACAAATAAACATCTTAACAACATCAAAAAAATAAATAAAATTATAATAGAATAGTTTAATATTTAATTCTGTAAGAAGGATCTAAAATTGTCAGATCTTTCATAGACTCATAATAAACAGAAATTCTAATGTATAAAGAAGACTGTGGTAACTTTGTTTGAACTCATATTTCTAAACTGATATTTGTTGCTATAGTAGTGAACGAGAACTCAAATGGGGATGACCAATTTACTATTCAATAGAAAATCACAGAATATCTTCGTAAAATATCAAAACCATACATTAAATAAATTCACTTGGTATTGTTTACTTGTATCTTCCAATTGTGACTTAAGGTTATATCGAGGCAATCCGCACAGGATGCATGTATGCCAATAAGAGACTGTTCACTTGCAGTGCTAAATAAAAATGGGAAGATACAAGTAAACAATATCAAGTGAATTTAAACTTCATTCCATTGCACAAACAAGCGGCTATCAGGACTCAGTAGTAAAGTAATATGCGCCACACAAGTCACTTGATTTGTGTGTGGACTGTGATACTGCACAGGTGCCCATACCGAAGTAGGTGGTTTTCTGAGGGGGCCGCACCCGGAGCCTTCGACCTAAAGGTCTAATCGACAAGACAGTGGAGCAACGTCAGGAGATGCACTCTCAAGGAAGCGGATGACCAACGATTGGTTCATACGCCATTTGGTTCCTTAGGATCATGAAGCTCATGTACATCATTGGTTTAGAATTAGGGTTTACTAACTCCCCTAGGTGGATCCTCCTTATCCACCAACCTGGTTTATGAACCGAACATTCGCATTTCATCCTCTCAATTTCGCAAACAACAAACGCACCACGAGAAGGCAGTGAGTAGGATTTCCCTGACAGTGGCTGTATACGCGCGGCGATGTGAAAGCGTATCAGGAGGCAAAGCTAACTTTCACCACTCTCGGCCGTACCAGAGCATTTGCGGGCCTCAAAACCGAGTTACACTGATTATTACTCTGAATTTGTTTCCCCAGAAGTTAATTATCATTACAGAAAAAAAGAATAATTTCAACCTCTTTTATTTTAATACTCTTACTTTCTATACAACAATGATATTTGAAACTGTTGAGACGAAGAAAACTTTGTCCACATTGTGTACAGTCATATGTTCGAGTCTCTGAAAAAAAGTAAAATTATAAATAATAATAATTATGAAGGAAACAATCATTTTATTTATTTGAGTTACATGGAATCGAATATTGATTAGAATGATAGTCAATTTCATGTTCTTTCAAAGTTAAAACACCATCTGATGATGAAAATAGATATAGATATGTGAATAGGACAATATTGAGGACAACATATAAATGGAACACAAATGACAAGTGAAAAGACACTAGAACAAAATGATTTAATTCTTGTGAAATAACTAAGAAGCTTAGTTGTTTACAAAGTAAACTATAATAATGTTGCCTAGAATAGTAATAAAAGTATCAGAATCAAACAGTCTAGTTCACAGTATTCAAAAACATAAAAACCAATTAATTTAGTTGCAAAGCTTTTTCATAAATTTATAATCACTAATATACAAACATTAAGCGTCATAAAGTTGAATTGAGGTGTAGTTTTAAAAAAGTAGATAAGGGATAGTGGTTTTGTAAAGCTTTCGTGTAACTTAAATATTATGTTAATATCAGTCAGTTAGTCAGTCATCAACAACGTAGAACTACGTACATACGTACATCAGTTCGAGTTGCTATACCACATTAGCACAAATATACAATTGTCAATTCAAATCTCATAGGGGTAGAGGAAGTAAAACTATAAGCAGTAATCGGAAACATTAGGGTTTGAAGATGTTATTCAAGGAGTATAACCCGGTGAAATAAATTTCGAAAGAGAGAGAAAAGGGACATGAAGAATACAGAACACAGAGTGGATGCATCTGCGCCATTGCAAACGATTTTGAGCCATGTCATTCAGGGTCTTTAACCATCGGTTACTACATCTCGCGGATCCCAATCAGCTAGTCTCCACCTACCAATATGGCTCAGTCTACTTGTCAGTGACTTCATGGACTTGTGCCATGTTTTGGTTTGGCCGCCCCTAGCTTTCTTCCAACCTACTCCTATACCATGAAACATCGCACGTCGGGGCAGTTGGTGGTTGGGCATACGTAACACAAGTCCCAGCCATCTCTACTGATCAAGTTTCACCACTTCGTCAATTGATTTGCCATTCTTACCTAGTACCCGTTTCCTAACAACTGTGTTACTTACTCGATGGTCCCAGAATATACGGGCAATGTTTCGAAGACACCTACGAATTATGTTAATGAAAAATCAAAGTCAATAAAAAACAAACAAGAAACAATTAGCAAAAACGTGACAGTTCACCACGAAATCTAAAAGTTTTGCAGCTTGACTTTATCTAAAGTTTTGAGTGCGCAATGTTTCAAGAAGTCTAAAATTAGGATGAAATAAGAGGTTAGTAACTCATGACTTCCAACAGTCCTTCAAGCTCATATGATCGACTAATGCCAATCATTTCGATCCAAAACATAATTGATAGTAAACAAAAGATCAATTAAAAGAATAACTTCTTCATTCTTTTCGTCTTTCTTTATATATCTAAATAAAAAGTTTCACTTTACTAAGAACAACTTACTCTGATGTACAGTTCGTTTGTGATAGCGTAAATGAATGACAGTGGTAAAACGATCGCCACACAATTGACATACGTGTTTAAATGCATCTAAAATCAAAAGTAAATTATTATTTTAAAGAAATGCTGAATGGATAGTATAACTAACCCCTAGATATAAAAAGGAAGAGTGAATGACCTACGGAATCAGTTTACTTATCCAACTATTATATTTTATTAGGTTCTTGTTTATGGTAATATTTGTAGTACATAAAAAAATGATTCTTCGGATTAGTGGTTTTATGTTTGATCATAAACTATTTGGAGACTGATGCCAAAAATTTGGTCTTCTGAACAGTCATCACTTGGCTACATCATTGCTTATTATTATCCGATCAGTATTCTCTTCTTTCATTCTGACATTAGGAACTTCTCTCATAAAATCCTTCTTCATAACAACCCTACTCCTTGCTGCTAATAGTACACAAAGAGGGATCGTGGGTGCGCACTGCTGAGGAGTCCCAGAGTACGACGGTCTAGCTTCAATTAACTCATGAACTCAACTATTAAATTACTTTAATATCCACAAAAACCCTTTCTGATAATATAATGAATTATTCTCGACATGCTTCAGATTCCCAACAGGACGTTTTTGCTTTCAACTTCGTCTTTTCTCTTTAAATGGTTATATGAAACGTGACAACTTGACTTAATACACATTTCTGCGCTAGAACCTGCATTATTTACAACTAACCGAAACAATGAACATGGATAAAAATTAATAAATATAAATAAGTACTAATGTCAATCAAAACTAGAAAAAATTGAAACGAATTCTTACCATTACTACACAATGTTGAATGAGATTTCCATTCCGCCAGCGATGAAAATGAAACACCACATATACCACATTGTCTGGGTTTCTCATCTAAAATGATAAAACGTGTATAATGAAGTCATTGAAGAAAGCACCCAACTGCATCACAAGGTAAGCCCTCACATGGGATCTTTAAGGCCAAAGAACATATTACGCCAAGAAATGGAGACAGAACTAGAAAGGAAGGCCCAGGACAGAGTGTGTTGGAGAATGCTGGTCGGCGGCCTATGCTCCATTGGGAGTAACAGGCGTAAGTAAGTAATAATGAAGTTATTTGGACGGGTGATTCACACCGTATTGTAAAACAAGTGTATAAACGTTTGGTATCTTAAGACTGATGTAAAAGATTTGTAGGCTTTCAAAGCATTTTTCTAACTTTACGGAACGAGTGAATGACCAATGCTGATTTTAGATGCAGATACTATGTAGATACTATGCAGATACTATGCTGATGAGATTGTGAATTTTCATCGACGGACCTGATTGGGGTATATGTTACGTATGCTTAACCACTGAGTGCTTTCATCTGCTATATGGGTTGGTGTAGGAATGGGATGGAAGAAGACCAGGAGAGATAAAACAAGACATGATATCAGTCAGTGAAGTTATTGATTTTTTGATTGAGATCATAAATCAAATGATGTTAGATAACAATTGAGAGCCTGGAAATTAAACATTTACACCGTTGGATGCTGGCCAGCTCAGTGGTCTAGAGGTTAAGCCTTCACGCGCGAGACCGAGAGTCCTGGGTTCGGATCTCACGTGTGGGATCGTGGATGCGCACTGCTGAGGAGTCCAATACTAGGTCGAAACGGTAGTACAATGCTTTCAGGTTCTAAATGGTGATCTAAATCGATTGATTCATGATCTCAATAAAAAACTTAACAAACTACCTAATTCCATACTGATGAGTCATTGATTGTTCAACTAAGCCTTGTTGGTAAGTGCGTACCAACTGGTTGTGGTCCACGTAATAATTCTCATCAGTGGTTGGAGACGTTTGATAATATAGCTAAGAATCGGTCTCAATATCGTAGATTCATGTACCTTCTATCTCGTTATGGATCTTGAGTTCTTTCATTCGCATCTCATTCCACATTCTAGAATCACCACTGACATTAATTTGAAATATAATTATTACGGTTTGTTCGTTAATCACCTTATAAACTTCATCTCAACATAGAGTAGCGCATATTCGTATCAAGCAAAATAGCGACTATGACTGATAATATATATTCATAGTGTTACAATTCACATACTCAGATGCTTTACAGTTTTAGAGAACTATTTTAATGTGTCTTGACTTATCAGTAGTATGTATCTACAATGGTTAACGAAGTCGAACATAACACATCTAAATGTTGTAATAACCACAGTACCTAAATTTTAAAAGGTGAAGAAGAAACAGTATAAATATCATCTTCAAGTCAAAATTGTACCCATATTTTAAAAATTGTATCATTTTAAATAGATAATATATTTGTAATAATTTTAATAGTTGAGATCATGAGTCAATTGAGGCCAGACCAAAATGGAAATCCTGGAAGCACTGAACGGCCGTTTCGTCCTACTGTGAGACTTCTCAGCAGTGTGCATCCACGATCACACCTCGTGAGATTCCAACCCAGGACCTATCAGTCTCGCGCTTAGCCTCTAGACCACTGGGCTGGACGGCATCCAGCGGTGTTAATGTCTAACTTCAAGTAATCTACCGAATTGAGCGACACACCCATTATTGTCTTCAGTGAGTTACTATCTCGCAACGGACCCAGTTGAACTCCACTGGTCACTGCTTTTCACTAGAACTCCAGGACATACCTCTTGAAGCCAATCACTAACGAGCATATGTTGATTAATATCAGAAGGGGTTTTGTGGATATTATATATTTGCAATATCCCAATGAGTAGAGAAATTAGATTTTCTGACGTTTCGTAACTCAGTGTTAACCACTTCTTCAGAGAATAAATAACCGAATCAAAATTAATTCAAGTTTAAATAGTACAACGGAACAACAAGGATAGTATCTCATTATATCATTTGGTTAAACTTCTCTGTCAATAATTATAAGTATACAATGATTGGATTAAATAAAGCTTTGCTAGAAATCAATCCGTAAGGATACAAAACGTTGGTCCATAATATTACTGAAACCAACAACAGTTAGACTTTAGGCATAAAAAAATAAGGATCATGTTAGTATAACTAAAGTACAAACCCATAAATTTCTATTAATCAGTTGGAATAAACAATATTGTATGCATAATATGTAAATAAAAATTCAAAGACAGTTTCATTACCGGCATGTGTAGTGATCATATGACGAGTCATAGCAACTTGTCGACTGAAACGATCACCACATAATTCACAAGTGAATTCTTTTCTCTCTACGTAAAAAAAGTGAATAAACATGATAGAACACACAATTTATTACTTGAATGATAGCTTAGAACTTGACTGAAGTGATCAATCTGTGAAGAAACTAGATGATATGGATAAGAATTGGTTACAATAATGTAAACGTAATCATTATTTGTTTTTGTCCTAAGAGTTAAGTAAGAAAAACACAACATAGGAATAATCTACACAATTTTTGACTTCTGAGGAAGGTTAAAGGGTGAAAAGATTGGGTTCCGAAGAAGTATCGTTAGTGAATTCTATGACTCATTAATGTATGTTCCTTTAGTAGTAAATCAAATCAAAATGAAACGATAACACTAACTTACATCTCTCTCATCAGCAGTTTAGTTGGTCTATTTATAATACAACGGAGATAAATTTGTGATAAGTACGAGTGCATTCACAGACGCAATTTGAAAATGAAGCTTCTTACCACTTTTAATCTTTTTATTCTGCATAGCTGGTTAGGGTTATGCATGTATTTCAACTCAATCGGATCAGAGCACACAACAAAACTAATATGGTAGATCGCAATATTTTACAATACCACTAAATGACATGAGTGTTTTCAAAGAGCTGGCATTTAGAAAAATATACATAAAGTAACTGCATATTCAGTATATTACTAATAGTGGAAACTGGACAGGATTGTTGTTCCATTTGGGACTCGTGAGTTGCATCCTAGTGTTAATATTTAAACTGAGACTAAGACCTAATACCTTTCGCTCTAAATGTCAACGCATTATCCACTGAACTACTGAGTCAAGATAGACGTTAAATTACTCAACGAATACGATGTGAACATCAACACTAGGATGCAGGTACATTCAAATGACGAGTCCCATAAAGGAGGAAACCCGTGTTTTAGATTATACCACTAGTTAAATGCAAAATATATTAAAAAGGCGTAAGGACGTTATGTCGAAGCGATCTGTTCAGGATACACAGAAACTGATAAATGGCAGTCCTAAATATTGACAACTAAATATTACAAACCTTTATCAACAGTATAATTAAATGAATCTGTTAGTAATATCTTAAAAATATATCGCTAAACAAAGGAGGACAGAAATAAACAAATACATACAAACACATTATCAGAATGGGGGTTTGTGGAGATTGTAGTAATTCAACGGTTAAATTCATGAGTTGATTCAAGTTAGAACACACCATGGAAAACCTGGAAGCACTGGACGGCCGTTTCGTTCTAGTATGGGACTCTTCAGCAGTGAATAGCCACGATCCCACACGCAGGACTCGGACGGTCGTCCAGTGCTTCCAAGTTTATCATGGTGATCTAGCTTAAATGAACTCATGAATTCAACTATTAAATAGATACATATATTTGTAAGTGTGAAATAACTACCGGAATGTTTCAAAGTTATGTGTTGCTTCAAATTATCGACTGTATTGAATAGTTCATTGCAATAACGACACTTTCGAGCATTTCTACCTAGAAATAAATATATATGTAGGAAAAACCTTAAAATTAACAGAATCAAATGGTAACAATACAATTTATGGAAACTAGAAGAGAATATCAAACATTTTGTAATCAATGATGGATAGTGGCTAGCAGTGGAATCCAGTTTGACGCGCGTTTCGTCCTATTTAGGACTCGTCAGCTGGACATACCTGCATCTCAGAGTTGATGTTAACTCTGGGACTCGAACCCAGTACCATTCACTTCAAACGCCATTGCGTTATCCACTTAGCTACTGAGTATGCACATATGCCGAAAACAGACTGATCAATTGCAATCTTAAACCTCAATGGAAAGATACAAGCCAACTAATACCAAGTGAAGAGAATATCAAAGTTGAAAATATAAAATTTAACCCAATATTCATTAATTTAGTTGACTATAACTTACTAGTTAATTCATTATTGTTTCCTGTAAAAATTGGTCTATTTATAGAAAAAAAGTACTTAAATAAGACTAAAGTAATGGGAAGAGATAATCAAGTGTCTAAAAGTAGTTCAAATAAGTATGTAGACTATCAATAGTAAACCTGGCAATTTCGATGAAAAATGTAATCATCATAATGAATTGACAAAATAATGAGATGCTTTGTAAGGCCATTTTATTATGAGGTTGTATTGAGAAAATCTAACTAGTTAGAGTTAGTTTATCATATTAATTGCTCTTTGATTCTTATTCATTCGTTTCCATGAAAAACTAAATACTTTCGTAATCTGTTTTCGACCAAATAAAAATATCACTACTTTCTCATGATCATTTAAGGGTTAAGTCATACTTATATACAAACATCAAGAAATGAGATATCCAACACGATAACATATACATACATTGAAGGGAATTGATGGTTGACTAAAAGTCAGTCAGTTAATCATACGTAACGTGAAACGTAAAACATATGAGGATCGGTTCAAGTTGACACATCAACCATATCAATGAAAGAACAAATACAGAGCTTAAACAGTAATCGACAGCGTACCACAACATAAACTCACCCTCATGAACATTTTCTTTGTGTCGACGTAATTCACTAGTTGTACCAAAGGCACTAGGACAAGATTCACATTGATAAGGACGTAACTCTGTAGAGAAGTGTAATACGAAAAAACAGTGAAAAATATTGAGAAAATAATTGGTTGAACTAATGACACCAAAATAAACAGTGATAGTAAGTTAAATAAAAGTAAAACAGTAGGACAATATCACCCAAGTATTTCGCCAATAGTTGGTTAACTCCTTCAATGACAAACATTAAATGATAAGTGTAGGGACGAGCCAAAGTGAACTCAAGGAAACTCTGAAAGAGCCGAAGACACTCCATCTAATCATCTTTTGGAAGAACATTCCAGAATCTCGATGTGTAGCTACCCGATTGAACAAATGCTAAAAACCACTGCATACGGATTGGATGACCAAAATGATGATTTCACTTTTAGTAAAAACTAGAAATACCTGAGTGTTTTGTACCATATTTCACACTGTTTGGAATAAGATTTTTTCTTACTTGCCTTCTTTCTTCGAACTTGAGACTTGAATGGTTTTAACGTTCGTGTGCTCACGTTGTACGCGGTATAGCAAGAACACAAGTTCGAGATATAACAATAAGCTTAATGGTATTATTGTATTCCGCGTTTTCCCTCAGATGTTAAGGTCTTCATAATCCAGTCGACCACCAGAAGAAAGAGGAAGGGAGAGAGTAAACAGCCTTGTCTGACTCCGGTGTTTACTTGGAGTGCATCTGTCAGCTGTCCTCCATGCACGACCTTGCACTGTAGTCCGTCATGAGTTCCGGATAATATTGACAATCTTCTCAGGAACTCCGTAGTGTCGAAGAAGTTTCCATAATGTTTTCCTATCCTGTCAAATGCCTTTTCATAATCAATGAAGTTGATGTACAGTGACGAGTTCCACTCAATTCAAACACGGAGAACAGCAATCCAATCACTCTTGATGGCGAAAATCTGGAAGATGTAGAATCCTTCACATATCTGGGAAGCATAATCGATGAACAAGGAGGATCAGATGCAGACGTAAAAGCGAGGATCGGCAAAACAAGGGCCGCATTCCTTCATTTGAAGAACATATGGAACTCAAAACAACTTTCAACCAATATCAAAGTGAGAATCTTCAATACGAATGTCAAGGCAGTTCTAGTGTACGGAGCTGAAACTTGGAGAACTACAATAACCATCATCAAGAAGGCGCAAGTATTTATAAATAGCTGTTTACGCAAGATACTCAACATCCATTGGCCGCATACCATCAGCAACAGCCTTTTGTGGGAGAGAACAAACGAGCTTCCAGATGAACAGGAAATTAGGAAAGGACGATGGAAATGGATAGGACATACACTAGGCAAATCTTCAAACTGCATCATTAGACAAGCCCTAACTTGGAATCCTGAAGGAAGGCCTAAGAACACAATACGTCGGGAAATAGAAGCAGATATGAAAAGGACGAACAACAATTAGAAGGAGCTCGAAAGGATGGCCCAGGACAGGGTTGGATGGCGAATGCTGGTGAGCGGCCTATGCTCCTTCACGAGGAGTAACAGGCGTAAGTAAGTAAGTAAGTAAGTTAATGATATTATACATTAAGGAATGAATCTTATCAAAACCAGATTTGTGTACTGAATTTTGCGAACCATAAATTCGATATGATTGCTAGCAATGTTATCCCTTAACTGACACACTGGGTGAAGTTTTATAGTTCAAGGATTGAAATTCGAGTACATTAACAGTCAAAACCATCAGTCTTCACTGATCAAGAACATTATAAATTTCGTGGTTAGATGTATACACAAGAATAAAATACATGAAGCATGAGCTCTATTTACTATAACCGCCCTAAAATGTCCTTGGACCGATCGATGCTGGGGAGAATTAGCTCTCCCTCTCCTAATGATCTCAAGTGGCTACGCACATACAACTACTGCCAGGGAAATCCTACTCATTACGTTTTCGTGGAATAACTGTAGTTTACGAAATTGAGAGGACAAAAAGCGAATGTTCGGTTCATAAACCAGGTTGGTGGATAAGGAAGATCCGCCTAGGTGAATTAGTAAACCCTAATTCTAAACCAATGATGTACATGAGCTTCATGATCCTAAGGAAACAAATGGCGTATGAACCAATCGTTGGTCACCTGCTACCATGAGACTGCATCTCCTGACGTTGCTCTACTGCCTTGTCGATTAGACCTTTAGGTCGAAGGCTCCGGGTGTGGCCCCCTCAGAAAACCACATACTTCGGTCTGGGCACCCGTGCAGTATCACAGTCCACACACAAATCAAGTGACTTGTGTGGCGCATATTTCTTTGGTGCCTCTTTGTACCAATATTTATGTGTTCAAACAAATAAATATTGAAACATGACAGAATATAGTATAAATCGAGTAGTGACTTTGACGCTAGGCTTTAGGAAATAGGTAAGAATTGACCGACTAACCAAAATTAAATGTTTATTGTTCAATAGACGAAGAACTTGTATGGAATTATTTAGCAATATAATTAAGGGTGATAAAATTCATCCGAAACATTGATGAATTATATACAAATATAATTGGTAAGAATAGAATTCCAACATGCTTTAAAACATTAGATGCAGTTTAATACATAGAAATCTGTTAGCTATCGATGTGTAATACACTTTGAAAGTTAATTACAGTTAGTTATACTGTGATCTGTGAGAGACAACTGTTGGATAAAAAAGTATAGATATCATATATTCGACTGAATTGAGTTTTTCGAGAATATATTAAACTGAAGTGTTTGAATTCTCTGGCTTATCAGGAAATTTAGCCATTGAACTTCAATAGATTTGTTTTTCGCTCCATAATCCTTTTAGCTGTTAGAAGATGAAACCAGTCGAATCTTATAAAAACTATTTCACTGATACAACGAACAATAAAGTAGAATTTAAGGTAACGAGAAATAAGAATGACTGAGTCTTCCAATGAAATACTTTTAAATAAATTTCAGTTTGTCAACGGAAACATGGTTTTTAGATTTTGGATGCTTTCCTCTGAATAGTTTCTAAAGTTATCGCTCCACATCTAGTAAGAATGTGTATTCTTTCCAAAATAGAATTATGTAATGATCAGAACTAAGAAGAGAATATACTTTGTAATTCGAATATATAATTAAATCATTAATAAAATCCAAGTCTATAAAAGCATGAGAACCGGTAGGGAAATCGTCTGCAATTACATGAATCGAGATTACTGCATATGATTGAAAGAGAAAAAAGGCAGTAGAAGAAAATTGAGTGAAATTATTTGCAAACTTTAAATATACGTATCTAGATTGACACGATTTCATACTTATAAATGTGATTGCATCATCAGCACACCTTTTCCTATTGTTTGAACGTTCCTGGTGATCAGTCTTGAAACTATTTAGCGACATTATATTATCATTATGTAAATCCGTTAACCAGGATTCTTGAATTTAGATCACACAACAATTATAATACATGTGTAGGTTTAGTAACAATTAAAGATAATTTACCATTCCTGTGGTGTGTGCTACTGATGTCGAAAGATATAAGTAGTATGTATCATCAATAGAAATGCCTAGCGACGGAAGGTTAAGAAGCTCAAAGAGAAGAGAACGAGAACAGAAAGTGATTGGTGTGGAAACGAAGGGGTAATCAAGTCTGAGACAATTGATTGACATTTTGCGAATGAAGTATGGTTCACAGATTTTACTAAGATATTCTGTAATTTTGTATTCAAGCACGTTTGGTTGTTCCAAATTGTGTTCTCGTTCGCGACATTCTTATTAGTGATATATAGTTAAAACTAGATAATCTACGAATTGATTTAATGTTCATTCTTTTTAATGAGTCTTATTAACCGTTGAAATGTCACAGAGTAAATGTTACTGTACTTTGGAAGGTGATGGGCTTCGTATATCATTGGATATAAACGTATGAATAAGTTATACGTATAACTGATATGAGTGATACATAAAAAACAACAAAAAATGGTAACTTGTAGAGATATAATGATGGTTGCAAAAATAGGTGGCTTAAATATTGAAACAAGTCATCGGTGTTAAATTCAGAGAGTTCAAATGTAACAGATCTCCTATGTAAACTGTCATATTAAATTCAAAACCGCGGGGATAATAACATTAGAAGTATTATTAATAAAGAATTTTAAACTTACTTTCATGTACACCAGCAATATGTTTCTTCAAAGTACCTAACTGTGTAAACTGTTTACCGCATACATCACAGGTGTGACGTTTGAAACCTTTGAAGGGAAATAATTACAAGAAAAGATAACTAAAGAACTTATAGAAAATAGATTTGAGATCCAAGATTTCACAGTTTTTTAGTCAAACAAAAAGAAACTTCCATGAACAAAAATCCCAAAGAGTTATAAGATAAAACATCATTTTAAGTTCAAACTATGAGGACTGCCCATGGGTGAATTCGAGGAAGCTCAGAAAGAAACGAAGATATTCCACCCAATCATCTTTCGTAAGGATATTCCAGAATCCCTAGGTGTAGCCTCCTCATTGGACAAATGCTAATAACCCCCTGTATGCGGGTTGGAGGATTATAATGGTGATTTTGTTTTTATTAAAAACTAAAAATGCCTGACAGTTTTGTACCATTGTACGACTGTTTTGGAATAGCATTCCTTTCACTTGTCTTCTTATTTGCGACTTGGAAGGTTCTGGCATTCAAATGTTCTAGTTGTACGCGGTATAATAAGGAACTAAGCTCCATATATAACACAAACTAAAACATTTTTTACTATCTTTCTAAAGAATTTCGAATAAATAGTTCTAGAAAATGCGTTAGTGAATAACAAGATATGAATATCTATGAAATACCGATAGTTAATGGGTTATTTCTCTGCGAACCTGGCTAAATAGGGAAGGTTGTTTTCCATTGTGAGGCACAATAGATTTGTCGAAGTGTCGATCATTACAGGCGGAACTGATCTCTATAAGGACTGAACGACTGAATAGATACCGGTCTCTATTTAGTAATAAAGAACCTTTCACAGTACAAGTAGTTTAAATGAAATTGAGTTTAAAAATTTGGGAGAACAAATAAATGTTACACACAGATACACACACTCAAATCTAGTCGTAACGCTAAAAGCGAACTTCGATGGCCTTCGAATCGGATAGATTATCCTATGAACACAATCTTAATTACTTAGAATGTTTGCCCATGTTGGGATAGCATAGACAAAGAGAGAAGAGACGAGAGTAGCTAGTTGGGCGTAACTGTTTGCCGAGAGTTATTTTGAACTCGTTGAGATTGCTAACGCCTCGAAGGAAGGCTAAATTAAACTTTGTAATGCTGAGTGTTCATTGCTTGTTTAGCTTAACCACTATTATGTAGAGATCTGAGAGTATATCAGCTGCACTCTTTGTTCTTATGTCTTTAATGGACCTTATGAATTTTTTTATCCAACCAGATATGATCGATTATATTTTTTGTTGTGTGGTCTAATGAAGCTCAATTAGCTTTGTAGAGGAAATCCTGACGACCATAACTACGTTATTGAAAGCCCGCAGATCTACCAATCTCTCATCATTTTCGTTTCTTTCTTCTAGCTCATGTCACCAAATGATATATTCACATCTAGCATTGTCTATCCTTATTTTGGTGTTAAAATCTCCCATAGGGATGGTAAGGTTTCTTCCTTGGGATTTCTATACGGTGGACTGCAACCTCACATAAAACTGGTCTATCATCGGTGAGTTCGTAGCACTTCATGACATTTACCGCAATAACTTCCATTTTTCGTTTGAAGGATGGCTTGACTATACTGGAGCCATGAGTTTCCCACTTTATGAGGGTTTTTCGTATTTCGTTGGACAAGATCAGTGCAACTCTGTGTCATTCGCTAAAACCGTAAAGATGATTTAACAAAACTGAAACTACTACGTATTATTAAGTAGTGTAATGTTAAAGATGAAAACATTAGGAAGGAAAGAGATAAACAATGGACAGACAACAGATTCATTTTAAAGAATCTTTACGCTGATTTTTGTTGATTGATTAACAATAGACAAATAAAAAAACACCAATGAGGTTGATATATAAAACACTTCTACTTTACCTTGATCTACAACACACTTATGAACACGGACATGTCCAAGTTGAGTGAATCTTCGCTGGCAAAAATTGCATTGATAAGGTTTTTTACCTGAATTAACCACAACAATAAATAAATGAAAAAAAAACGGAAATATTAACAATTATCAAACTGATAGTTGGTTGTTATTTTAAAGAAAAAGAATGGGCAATAATAGTTCAGAACGTAGATGCAAATAGAGTAGTAAGTTTAAGTTACACATTTAATGGTACTTGTCGGTAAATGTAATGTAATGATTGAAGAAAAGAATTGAACTAGATAATAAACCATTAGACTATTAAATGATGATGTCGAAAATTGTTCACTTCAGATTTTAATTCATGATACTTAATGAGATATGAAAAATCCAGTTACTTAGGTGATTCCATTGTTGGATCAATGACCGTAAAACTTTTCAATTAACTTTCTATTGTACTTTTAAATTGACCCAGAAATGACTACAAAGAGTTGTATCTTTAATAAATTTCAATTTGTATCAATTATAAGTAGTGTTGTCTTCTGATATTGTCATGAAATAGTTGATCAAGCTGAAAAAATGTATCCGCTAGATATATGCATTATCCATTGATTTTTATCATAGAAATTCACTTGGATTGGTGAACTATGAGAGGGAATAATAAATGGTATGAATTGAACAACCATACGTTATCATCTAAGCCATGTAAACAAATACTTGTTAATACTGTGTCGCAGTTACCAATTCGCAGTATACCAACCTTTTTCTGGATTACTGTTGTGACGTGCGCTTTCCGAAATCTGATATTGATACACGGTATGCTATGCGCTAACCTCACAAACTGACTAGTTGAGCGAGAAAGTGTATTGGACTACCGAATAAAATATATATAAACCAGTCCATCCTTAGGAGATTGACCCATTTTGACACTTTCATTAAGCTACTTCTGATTGGGAGTCCATATCAACTAACATCATATATATATACTGACATAATAATTCATGATACAATCAACAACACTAAAGGGTGCATTTACCTTCGTGAACTGATGCTTTATGCTGTTTCAGATGAACACTTTGTGTGAAACGAGCACCACAGATATCGCATAAATGTGGACGTTTCCCTAAAAGATGATAATTTATTTTATAATTTCGTAGAGTGGAAGAAACAAAAAAAACATACAGAAATAAACCAATGAATGACAAGTAGTAGTAGACATGTGATAGTGACTAGGAATGTAGATTAAAACACCCAAAAGTAACTTATACTTCTTCAGAGTAAATAAGTAAAATTGTGTTAATTTAATGTTGGTTATCTACTTACTTTGAAGAAGTGGAGTATATTAAGTCACGAAACATCGTCAGAAATACAAGCATTCTACTCATAAGGATACAACATATAATATATTTATTATTAATTTTACCCAATGCTCAATTTATTCAAAACTATCAAGTCCAACATTGGTATGGATACCCATATTTATCTATATGGTTATAACAGCATTCTACCATTCTATTCTTAACTATTACTATTACATTCTAGCCTTAAACTGAGATACTAATCTAAACTCCTAATCATAAGCCCAATGTAATCTATTTTTCAAGTTTCGTTGTAAAAAACCCCATCATTTCGATGAACAACATTCTGATTGTCAAAAAAGTAATGCATTAGTTTCTCAAAGTCATTTTAAGTGTTACTGAAGGTCATCCCGATCGTGTTGCTACCTTGACGTGGTGGTCAGGTTTGTCTATCGTGATGAATCAATCGAGCTATACCGGCTGGAACAATCGTTCCTCAAGGTCTTACCACGCAAAACAGGTCGGTAAGACTAAATGCAGCAAATCCAACGTCTGAGAGAGAAGTCGTACTGATGACTGTGCAGAGGTGTGACAGCAGTAAGGTGTTTCCTTCAGACAACCAGAATAACAGCGGTGCTGCCTTCCCACAAGGAGGGGTGGAGTTGGAAAAGGTTGACCCTAAAAATACATACTTCACCTTATCCCACGAATATCCCTCTTTAGTGGTAAAGTCTCAACAATTACGGAGCAAACACGATTATTACTCACAAAAAGGTCGTGTGTGAGCGACCTTTGGCAGTTTTCCCTTGGGTACTGTGGTCACGCTCTCAGGTCACTAAGACATTTTTAATCCAATTTCCTTTTCAGGTACCTCCAAAAGAACCCTTCCACGGTGTGGGCGACCGGGAAGTGATAACCGCCCTCATACTTCTAACAGCACTCAAGATCACTGACTGACTGACTGAAGGTCATCAGTAAGGTAATTTTTAATCCGACTTCCATTCAAAAAAAATTTATAGGAAAAATAAATCATAACCGACAGTAATTTAATAAACCAAGAAATTTGAAACAAAAGCCTAAAACGTCTGTGAATAAACATTAAATGTTTAAGCTATTAGATTAATAATCAATCACTGATTGATTTTTAATAAGTTTTTGGTACCTGTGTCATTGAGTCACAGGATATAGTTGTGCTATTTAGGTCTTAATGTAAAAGCCTGAATTATGTCTGGCTATCTTAAAAACTAATGTAAAACTAGGCTCATGCAGGGTATATTTATAATTATGTCAGTTGAATTAATAAGTCTATTTATATATGATGGCTAAAGGATTTGAAGACGTTCAGTGTTGGTATCTGAATTAGAAGTTAATACATTAGCATAATATGCCAAATTATTGGACAATGAATACAGTTTTAGAAATTAAGTGCAGAAACAATCAGGTTTCTGAATAGGTTTACATTATTAAGTACTAAATGGTTAAGAATAGTGGTTTTCATATTTCTGACGATTACATCATCAGTGCCTATTTACTCATCTATAGAGAGTGGGTCAATTGATTATGGAAAAATAAAACATTCAAAGAAGCAAACTTACCAGCCAATAACATAACTTTTACTACTACTGTTACTTACCTTCATGAACGGCAGATTTATGATGAAGTAATTTACTTGCTTGACCGAAACATTTCCCACAAATATCGCACACATGAGGTCTTTCAGCTAGTTGTATATTGGAAACATTGATTTAAAAAAAAACATGGTCTTGTCAAAAAAAATAGTGACCGAGCGGATTCGACTACGAAAATGAAAGAAAATGTGTACCTGTAATATACGAATGGACGACAAATATGATTCATGGACCCATAGAACCCAGATCACCCTCTTTCACTGTTTGAGAAGTTACCACTTAGAAATACTGTTCCACTGGAAAATAAAACGCCGGCTTGCATCCCACAGAGAACATTAATTCCTGTAATATTTCAGGTACGTTTTGCTAACAAGTGCCAAGTTGTACGAAACGAAAATCAAACAAGGTTTTCTGTCAGCTACTTTCAACAATCTTAGATAAAAAGAATAGTTTGTGCAATACCAACTTATTTGGACTAGTGGTCACATTGCGACAAAATCGATGGAATCTAATCGGCGTAGAGGAAATAGACTAATGATCGATCAATATAAATCCTCCATCTTTAGCACTAGGTGTGACATTACCATACTATGTTAATTCTACGCGGAAATTAGATGAGACAACTTGAAGACATATGTTTACTAGATTGCGAAAATCGTCTACGACTGAATAATAAAAAACTTATTTTTTCAAATACTTACAATTATGAACAGTAGCTCTATGTTGACGCATATCAGCAGCGTGTTGGAATGCGATTCCACAAACACCACAATTATAACTAATTTCACCTGAATATAAATAAAAGAGAAGAATTTGGTGATTAAATAAAAGTATGGAAAATAGCGAATCCAAACTTAGATTAACACAATAAATGTAGTGATGTTTCATGCACGAATAGGTCACTTTATTTACCTGCATGAAATGTACGTCTATGTTTTTGTAATTCAGAAGATTCACGAAAACGAGCACCGCAAATTCCACAAGCGAAAGGAAGACAACCTAATAGAATCATAAAAGAAAACAATCGAAAGTGGGTTTTTTTATTTGAAATCGCCAAAACAAATGGAACTATTGTACTGATAGAAAAGAGGAAAAACACGAGTACACATGAGGTGATCAGGTTTATATTTACTGTTTTTATTCGTCCAATAGAAATAAACGGCCTAGATAGCTTAGTGGTAATGTCTGAGACTGTAAAGCTGGATGACGCGGGTTTGAATCCCACAGGGAACATCAGTGACTTTGAGATTGCAATTATGTCTTGCTGACGAGTCCCAACCAGCATGAAACTTAGTTGCAGTATTCTGGTGCCAATTACTCCCAATCTCTTGACATTTCTGAAATGAACGATAACCGACACGATAAATAAAAAACCCTAAGCTCTAACATATAGAGAAGTACATAACGATACTAAGTACTAATGCCATTTGAATATGACTAGTGGTAGATTGTGTTCTACAATAAATTAGATTTTTTGTTTTGGTAAACACTTGGATAGGCTTCTCAGTGTTTATTCACAGTAAATAATAAGTTTACACATCGCTTAAATGTATTTGCCATGATAAACTGATTATGAAGAATTATCCGCTTAATTCCAATTCAACTCATTTAAAAACAAGAAAATGTATATGTACTTGGCTTTCAGATACTGATAACAAGCATCAGGACTAATGATACTATCTGATTGTCTTAACTGAAGTAAATGAAGAGAGTTTCGAACTTACTATATAGTGGTGGTAGATTGTGAATTGTCGTCACTAAGCTAACACTGTTGGCGTGAAAGAAGTGGGATGGTAGCACACTAGTCAGACTGTTTAGCTCATAATCACTAAGTCCCAAGTTCTGACCCAACCTACCTACTTCGGTTTGAGTAACAAGGTAGCATCCCTATGCCTCAAACTTAGAGAATGATTCATAGCCAAGTATATGAATCTGTACCTGGTTGATGAGTTGATAATAATGATTACTGTTAACGTAATAAGTAATAAGATCGAAGCGATTTATCGGTGTTTCAGGAAAAAAAGATGAATTTAGCGTTTTCACAATTCAACTGACGGATTAACCGAATTTGTTAACAACTTATTTACTAGGTAGATCTGTGTTTGATTTCCAACCAAAATCTAAGTATGAAGACTAATAATACTATCCGGTTGCCAGAACCGAAGTACATGGGACGAGAACCAAACCTACAACTTAGTGATTGGATGTAGAAAGGTTTAACCACTAAGCAACCACTCCATCTGATTTGACAGATGACATATCCAAATATAATTGGAAATCAACTAATCTGAAAGCAAAAATGCTATCGCCCCCAAATGCCCTGGTACGGCCGAGAGTGGGGAGAGTTCGCTCTCCCTCTCGAAATGCTCTCACATGGCCACGCGTATAAAGCCTCTGCCAGGGAAGTCCTACTCACTGCCTTCTCGTGGCATTACTGTTGTTTACGAAATTGAGAGGACGAAAAGCGAATGCCCGGCGCTTTAACTGGATTCCAAATCAATGGTGCACATGGTCTCCGGTATCCTGCGGGAACAAATGGCGTATGAACTGATCGTTGGTCACCGGCTTCCATGGAACTGCATCTCCTTACGATGCTCCACTGCCACGTGGATCAGACCTTCAGGTCAAAGGCTCGGGGAGTGGTCCCCTAAGAAAACCACCTGCTTCGGTTTGGGCACCCGGGCAGTATCACAGCCCTCACACATATCGAATGGGATTTGTGTGGCGCATATGTATTTGGTGCCTCCTTGTACCAATGTCTATGTGTTAAAATAAATAAATAAAAATGCTATCACAGAAATGATTACAATTGGTGAACTTTACATTTCAAAAAACACTGATAATTAAGTTTAATATTGTGCAGTTTGAAAATCGAAAGTAAACAATGAATAAACAGTCGACAGGTTTGCTAATGATAAAAAAATCAGATGAATGGTGTACATATATTTGATCTGTATAAATATCCACGGATATGTTTTAAAAATTTGGCATTTTTCAGGAAAGGGAACTCGCTATTCTTTAGCTACAGTTGCGTTAGACGATAAAACAAATGGGATGTAATATCTTAAACATCATGTTAATCAGACTGATTCTATTTATGCTTACTACAAGAGGATTGCTATTTTTCTACGTAAAGAGATGTATAATACCTGGTTACGAGGCCAAAATATAACAGTAATGTATGGTTTATTATGTTGTTTGGAATGATTTATAAACAGGAGCAGTAATGGAGATAGATTCATGATTTCCGTCCCCTTAAGTGTTAGACTTCCCATTTCGTATTCACCTATTTCATTTTTTCTACTTGAATTGTAGTTACATTTCTATTTGAATGGATACAATTATTTAACCTCATTAAGATTAACCCATATTAATTTTAAATATCACCGTGATTATATGAGATTTGAGAATTTCGACCAGCGCTATCTGTGATAGAGTGAATGTCCAGCTCTTTGACCGGGTTGGTGGACATGGAGAGTCCACCTAGGGGAGTCGGAAAACCGTGATTCCAAACCAATGGTGTACATGGACTCTAGGATTCTGAAGGAACGAATGGCGTATGAACCAATCGTTGGTCACTGGTTACCGTGGGACTGTATCTCCTGAAGTTGCCCCACTGCCTTGTGGATCAAACCTTCAGGTCGAAGGCTCCGGGTGTGGCCCCCTAAGAAAACCATCTGCTTCGGTTTGGGTACTCGGGCAGTATCACAGCCCTTACACAAATCAAATGAGATTTGTGTGGCGCATATGTATCTGATGCCCCCTTGTACCAATATTTATGTGTTCAGATAATAATAATAAGTGATAGAGTGAATCAATAGTTTGAAAATCAAGTATGGTCACTAATTGACAAAGCGTGTAACACTATGTATCTACAGTCGGTGAGTATAGCTCCCGAAAAATATACTCCGATGATAAAACTTGGTGTTGTTGGTAAATTCAACGCCCGTTATATAATGAAACTACTGGTCAGCATTTTTTTTATTATTGCCAAATAAACTTCAGTTTTTAATTTATTTAAACACATAAATATTGGTACACGGAGGCACCAAATATATATACATCACACAAATCATTCGATTTATGGGAGGGTTGGGATACTGCCCGGGTGCCCAAACCGAAGCAGATGGTTTTCTTAAGGGACCACACCCGGAGCCTTCGACCTAAAGGTCTAATCGACAAGGCAGTGGAGCAACTTCAGGAGATACAGTCCCACGATAACCAGTGACCAACGATTGGTTCATACGCCATTCGTTCCTTCAGAATCCTAGAGTCCATGTACACCATTGGTTTGGAATCACGGTTTTCCGACTCCTCTAGGTGGACTCTCCATGTCCACCAACCCGGTCAAAGAGCTGGACATTCGCTTTTCGTCCTCTCAATTTCGTAAACAACAGAAATGCCACGAGAAGGTAGTGAGCAGGACTTCCCTGGCAGTGGTTGTATGCACGTATCCATGTGAGAGCATTTGGAGGGAGAGCTGACTGTCCCCACTCTCGGCCGTACCAGGGAATTTTGAGGGCACACTTCAATCAGTCTATCATAATCAACACAAGATGAGATAGGAATACAAATCCGCCGTAGTTGTTACATTATATCAGCATGATGAGGTGAACTTAACAAGATAACTACCAAAGGAGCTGAAACAACACTAGTATCAGTGGTAAAAATAAAAACTAAATATTGGAGAAAATAGTTCAAAGAGGAGGAATAAATTTGCGAAAGAAAACAGCATGAAACAATACTGGAACTCAAGATCTAACACAGAAGATATAACATTCATCTATCTGCATCACATCACTACTTTACGACCCACATTTATTGGTAAAAATAATTGATCTGATAAAAATAATGATTTATATTGAATTGAAATAAACTAGTCGCGATTCTTAATTCAACAAACCTTCATGAATTGAAGCACGATGAGTTTTCATTGTGTGCATATGTGAGAAACCACGACCACATACATCACAAACAAAAGGTTTTAATGCTGAAATATGAAGAAGTATTGGAAGAGAGAGAGAAAAAAAAATCATCGAATTATTGATGTGTATCAGTTTACTGATAAGTATGAAACGTACATGTTACATCAGAAATGGCTTTTTTAAAAAAAGGTGTTATATCGAAGTGAGATTGAGAAAGGGTAAATTTTTGAAAATCTCCATCATTTTTCCTTTACATTCTGTATGGTTCTTCCAGTTCACAATTCTTTTCTATTTTCACTTCTATTCTCTTTAACTTGGGCTTCTTAGCTTCCTGTTGCCAGAGTTTCTACAGCCGATTGGTCTTATATACTATTTATGTCGACAGATATAAGTAGCATACACTACAGTGTAACTACTAAATACATGGATTATGGTACTTCAATATTATCACATTTTATAAACTTTCATTTAATGCATAAACTGTTATGATAAGTTTCATCATTCCTAAATTATTGTTAGCGACTGCATCTACAATGAAAGTACAATGGAAGATGATCGCGCGATTCCGTGAATTGGTTGGAGTTAGACATTAACACCGTTGGAAGCCGGCCGGCTCAGTGGTCTAGAGGTTAAGCGTTCGCGCGCGAGACTTAGGTCCCTGGGTTCGAGTCTCGCGTGCGGGATCGTGGATACGCATTGCTGGGGAGTCCCAGTGCTTCCAGGTTTTCAATAGTAATCTAACATCAATCGATCCATGATCTCAGCCAAAAACTTAATTAGTCATCTCCCTATTCCTCCGTTTTTATATCACTTATAGCTCCGTTGTATATATATTATAACTTCCTATTTGTAAGATTGTCTAAGTAATTAATGTATACGAATTTGAGTTTTTAAAACAATAAGATAATAGAATGACTTTGCTTGTTAGCTTCGTCTTTTGATTGTACACTGGGATAAAAGTAACTCGTGAGCTGATGATATACATTAAGGTCATGGTTATTGAGTGACTGATCTAGAGAAGGTCATTGGTTCTATAGACAATAAGCGAAATAATTGATAAATAGATTTGAATATTCAGCTGTTTCAGATTATTAGTCGGTTCAATCACATGAGCTCTAAGAGCTCTAAGAATTATAAATACATAACAATATGGATGATTTAAATAAACTCAATTAAACTCATTGAGAATAGTTAAAGTAACAATTTCTGATATAGACACAAGTTAGTCATTGAAAAAGGGGATAAATACTGTAAGCCTAAACTTCAGTTTATTAACCGTACGGTCAACTGCCATATATCTTACGACTAACAATGTGTGACCAATATAATCTTCTGTGAATAATTAGCATTTTTGTTGAGCAAGTACAACTCTATTTTGGAAACTTTTGGCTTGATCTCAAAATGTAATTGTAAAAACTCTCGGATTTCCCCAAGTTCCTTACTTATATCCTTCAATAGTTTAATCGAGCTAGTAGACTTTGACCAGTATTGAGACAAGAATGCATGAGAGATTCATTACTATAAAGCCCATTAACGTTAAACATATTTTTTACGGTTAAACTGTCAGAACTGTTTGTACATGAGGAACATGATGACAGAAGAAAACAAAGAATTATAATGGATAGATGAGAGTTTAAAGAATAATGAAGAGAATTATTATCAAACAAGAGTATTACTAGGAGCATACGGACGGCAACAATTACAAGTAACCCTGTTTTATGCGTATGCATGACACTAAGTGAAACTCCCAATGAAATAAAAATATTACACCGAAAAGGCAACTTACGACCACTTTTTTCACAATTATGCCGCCTCAATGAACGGGCTTTAGTGAAACGTTTATTACAAACATCACAACTATACGGTCGTAATCCTGAATAGAGACAGAAAAGGTGTCATTCGGTATACAATAGTATGTACGATTTAAGTAATTAAATGAACAAAATGTAAATCAGTATATACACTCATAGATCCGATCAATGAGTTGAATATCTCAATCTTACCTGTTTGCTCATTAATTACATGAATATTACAATATACTTCACCGAAATGAACTAAAGTATTTGATTTTCTTAAGAGATCAATTTACGATCCTATCAATGAACTAAAAAAACAACCTACGATAAGTAATCTTATGCAACTTCATCACTGGTGATCACCGCCAACAAAGCTTTCATTACGATTAGGATTTCACTCGCTAATTAATGAAGCAGGGAAGAAAAGGATAGAAGTAGTTTTGTTCACTTCAATGAAGTCGGAGCTGTGAATATATTATTTTAGTCTACAAATGTATTAACAACGCATTAACTATTGCCACTTGTTGTAGCCCGTAAGAGATTTAAAACTATGGATAGAGCTGGTACAAATGAACGAAAAGTGTTAAGTCCTTTTAAAGTATGAAAACGATCGTTTATTATCGGATCAATAGCAGTTATGGAATGCCTAACTTTACAAAACAAAATATGACATGAATGCAGTAAATCTTCTTTATGAAATTGGATAAACTGAACGAACTAGTGGTAAATCAACAGCTTACATATCAAACCATTCGATTTTATACTATTATGTCATAAGTCTGAAACATGGACTCTAGCTTGGGCAGGCTTTATATCAAGAAATCTGGTTCATGGCTTAGAATAGATCACAATGGCGTCAGTGTATCGACTATTTGTTTTCCCTTAAACTATGAGATTAAAATCGCTTCATATCTTTCTTTTTACCAGCTAATTCTTTCTTCCTGTACTATATCCTTATATGCAATCTTTCTTTTATATATTACCACCACTGAATTAACTACTTCTATGAATCCGATGTTCATCTTGTTGTGCTAATGAGGTATGGCAACTTGGACTGATGCACATAAGTGCCTGGTTCTACGTTGTAGCTGACTGACTAAGTTGTATTACATCAATCGTGTACTAAAACGCACTGAGGAAACAAACTTCACATTAGCTATAATAAATTTAATAAAAATGGATTTATTTATCATGGAAAATTAGTAAAACAATATACTTGTGTTTAATAAATTACCTTTATGAACTGTTTGAATATGTTGTTTCAGATGGCCATTTTGTGTAAAACAAGCATTGCATATATCACAGGCAAATGGTCTACGACCTAAATAATGTGAAATAAAATCAACATTTACTTAATTTCGGTAAATGAACTAATAAGAGTGAATATCCAATCAACAATGACCGAAAATTCTAAGTTCAATCCATAACCTATCAACGTTTTTTGCGTAGATGACCAATATCACAATATAGAGTTATCTATCAGATCATCGCAGTTCAGTAGCTTTGGAGCTTGAAGCTATGAGCATTGAGTATCAATCTCCACGGGAAAATCAACACGAATGCAGGTATATCAAGTGTACTATATATCAGATGAAACTGAGTTGTGACTGGTTACTGAGCGAAGACAGAGAGCCCGTCTATAATTTGTCATGCAAATAACGGTTTTATGTCGTAACTCTGATTTCTTACCTGAGTTACACCGTGTTAACTGCTTGTATTTGTGTGAATAAAATCAGTGTCTGGTCGATAATCTGGTTCTCTACAGTTAGACGGAGTTGCTTACCAGCGTATGACGTGATCTAGTTTGCCCAGTCTATCACTCAATCTAGTATTATCGTACTTCGTATCAGAAGACAAAACATTTTACTCTTTTAGCATTACATCAAAGGTCGAGTCTCGAAAGAGATGAAACAGATTACGAGACCTTTCGAGATAAATAAAATGCGAATACATCTAATCGGATTGACGTTTGTTTACAAATGAACAGCTTTGAAGCGGTGTTACTTGACTCGATGCACAAGTATTAGGCTCTACGCTGTACATAACTTTGAAATGATACAAAACGGGTATTCTGAATTGTTCACTTCTTAAGAGTTCTTGATAGTTTCAAATAAATTGAGCATTATGTAGAAAGTTAATAATAAATATATTTTTCTGTTCTATCCCAATGAGCAGAAAAACTGTATTTTTGATGTTTCGTGACTTAATGTAACCCACTTCTTCAGAGTAAATAAATAACCGAATTAAATTAACACAATTTAATTTAATTTGGTCATTTATTTACTTACCTTAAGTCACGAAACGTCAGAAATACAGTTTTTCTACTCATTGGGATATAACAAAAAGATGTATTTATTATCAAGTGAATGATTATTTATGAATCCCTACTTAGAATAGATTTCCAAAGGTTCTAGGTGAAAAAGCGACTAGTAAGCCCAGCTAAGTCATAAATAGGGAATGGGGTCTACTGGTGACACTGTCAGGTTATGATTTGTTTAAAACTAGGAAAATAGACAATTACATTCCTAACCAAGGGCGAAATAAAATTAACGTCGTTTTTAGCAAGTACAGTCAAGCGGTGTTGGAAATATGTTGACACCTGACACTCTCAGTCTCCACACACCGTGGAAGAACACCCGTTCTTAAGGTGCTTGGTGCAGAAACTGGATTATCAATAGTTTCGTCTACCTAGGAGGCCGACCACAGAGCCAAAAGGGATAACTATTTGAAGATCATCATCCAAGGTCTCTTGCGAGTAGTTCTCTGTGTTAGCACCATACTCAAAAGGCCTTATCACTAGGTATGAAAACCCAAGAGGAAAGCAGAGGGAAATTTTAAAGGTCAACGTACTCTGATTCCTCCCTTCTACTGTGAGGAGAAATCGCCACAGAAGCCGACTTTCCGAGAGACACATTACTGTGATCATACTGCAGTACAGTCAGTAGTACGATTCCATTTTCCTAATTTATCCTTTCAGTCTTAACGTCCTTTAACCTATATAACTGGGACGATAGGATCTGAATAGGTGTTTTAGCCAACATAATTTGATTGGAAAAGTTACGGTATGTAAGTCCGGTCACCACGTCAAGGTAGAAATGTGGTCGGGGGAAAAACATACAAACTGATGAAATAGCTGCAGATATGGTTTACTCCCTTGTTTTAGATGGTAGTCCTGCAGTAACTTGAGTTATATAGTTTGATGACGTTATAACACCTCACCTAAACTTAATGATATTTGTTTAATTTTGTCAAGCCTTACAATTAACATATATGACAGTGTCATCCGAACAGTAACAATTTGTCTATATCTTTATATGATTATTATCATGTCTGTATGCTTGATCACGTGTTACAGACTACGTACATATCCATCTTACTGGCTCAAATAGATCGATGAATCATTCACCATCCTATGTATACGTGCTTGAATCTTATCGATTCGACTCGTAGTTCGCCCCTATACTTGCTTGCTCACTCGCACTCACATTTATGCTCGAATTCACTTTGTGTGTTTCGGGCTTAATGATCTGCGCTGTTAAACAACAAACTGTGATCGACGCTTTATATCGTCTTCTGAAATTCATAGAAAGTTGAGATTTGTTTCGTAAGTCATTATCTTGAAGATAATTCACTACAATATACTTTCCAACACAACTTTTAGACCTATTTATTCAGAAAAGAAGGTCATTGTATCGAATTTTTGAAAATCCTTTCTTTCAACTTACCTTCATGTACTGATAGTTTATGTAGTCTTAATGTTCGAGCCTTTTCCAATCGTTTACCACATTCATCACATTTGAATGGTCTAAGAGCTGAAATATGAAATAATGAGTACAAATGAACGATTAAACAATTATTATCATTAGAGAAGGGAATCATATGTACGTGAAAACAGTAAATTTCACTTATAATAGGAAATTCCATAGTCAGTTAATCATAATCAATGTAGAATTTGGCACATACGCACGTCAGTTCAAATTATCACACTATATCAGCACAATGAGATTAAATCAACGGGAAGAACACAGGAGTAGTAAAAGTGTTAATAATATCAGTAAAGTAGAGAAGATTAGACGGAAAATATGAATCGAGAAACATGAATATCCGGGATAGGAAGTTCAAGATTATTTTTAAACACAAGATCTAGGCGGAGACAAATTGTGAATGCGTCTGTGCTATTGTGATCGATTCTGAGTCATATTACCCAACTTCTTTAACCATTACCTACAAGTCACGCAAATCTCAACTAGGTAGTCTGCACAGCTTAGTCCGACAGTCAGTAATTTTATCAGGCCACTGGTTGCAAGTCTCACTAGCGTCCTGGTATACCCAGACTTTCATATTGGGACTCGTAATTTACCACTGAGTACGACCCTGAATTACTAGATCTAAAATCCATTCCAGTAGAGTAATTGTACTCATCAGCTGTCTTCCTCTAAACCTTTAGTGTAGTTCTACACTTTTCATTTTTTGATCTCATTCGTTTCTTTTAAATTATGTTTCGGATGGTTGACTTTTTTTATTGCGTTTGGCATTATCTTTAACTTCTATTGCCTTTTTTTATCTTCGTAGTCTCCGCTCTGGCTATCCTGAAATGAAGTATGGCAAATTGGGCAGAAAAAAGTCAAATTCACATGTTATGTTAACGACCACTGTGACTATTATTTTTCATGCCCCATTCAGATTAGCATGGGATTAATTAGAGTTAATCTAACTTTTCGTGCTTCAACTCTTCTTATTACCTTTACATATTTGTAAATAAATGAGAGTTGACTATTAAATAAAAATTAAGTGAAGTACCCAACTTTGGCTTTCATTATAACTATCGACTACATAACACAAATATATAACTAGCAGATAATTATGTAAATCCACATAGGAAAAAGCACTTAAGATAAAAGTTACTGAGCGAATAAGTGAGTTCTTTCGTATCACTTTTATACAAAATGACTAGCAATCTTGGTTGATTTTTAAAACCCACCTCAAGAAATCCACATAGTAGTCGACTTAGTATTTAAACTGAATACACTCAAAGAACAATATACTCACAGATATATACATATTTGTTAAGGATGTGGAATTGCCGACTAGAAATTAGAAGGAAGAAAATCAATATTGATTAGAGATAAATCTATTCAGCATGAATTCTGTTCGTGGAATTTCAATGGGTTTTTTCTCTGTGATTTGTGTTTATTCACGATTACTCGGTTACTAAATCATAATCATTGTCATCAATATATAATTATCGTAAATATATTTTAAATTCTACTGGATCTTGATTAATAAAGCTTCTAAACAACAACTTGACTTCTTACTATAACTTGCGAAGCAGGAAACAGGAGGATAGTAATAGTCTCGTTCAACATATTGAAGTAAGAGTTAGGAAATAGTAGCTTAGCTCATGAATATACCGATTTTGCAACATAACAAATAATAAAATACTTGTAAATGGAGAGGTATTTTAGGATCCTACCAATCAAAGTAGCTTCATCCATTGCACTATTTGGTACTCGTTGTTTACGAGGTTTTGGAAGCTCACGTGTGACATTTGTAAAACTACTAAGAGGTGATGAATTGGACGTTTCAACTTTAAATGAAATCTCATCAGGATGATGATTTGTGTGGTCTACAATATTGTGAAAAAGAAATTAATAAATTACATCGACATAAAAAAAACAAGTCAATAACATTTAATCAATATTTCCAGCTGAATAGTATCCAGTAGAAACTTTGTTATTATCATAAATGAAGAAAAACTCCTTAACTATGTAAACAGCTTGCAAATTCATTATTTAATTTTGGCGTAAAGTTCAATTTATATTAAATCTTTGATAATGTAAAGAGTGTGAAAATGATATTTGGCAAGAAATTACCACTAACATCTACTGAAGAACCAATAAAATCAAAGGGGCACTGGACAGCTATTTCATCTTAGCCTAAAACTCCGCAGGATTGTCCACATACAAAATATCATACAAGATCAATTACAGAACTGTAAGTCCCATGGTGAGGCGAAACACAATGGTCTAGACTTTTGAATTAAGCAATTAGTAATATAAACCGAAACCTTAAGTGACTGGTGCCCTTGGTTGACGTTATCAGTTACGGTGTCCCATAGGAAACTTCGGGAAATCTATTTCGCAGCAAGTTGCCCGATTGGATGTAAACGGTTACCGCAAACTGCATTTTATGGAGAAATTTGTACAGCCTGAAGATTACTTTTGTCACACAAGCTGTTGATCGAGAAAAGTCAATTGATGAACAGTTACTAACTTTTGAAGATCATGTTTAAAATGACACAACAGAACCTCACTCATTGACTGCTAATTATTAGGAAACTATAGAGATAATACTTTGATCGGTACGTTTATCAGAATGAGCTAATGCTCACCACCAACTAGACGAAGTTCCCGACAATTTGAAAGACAACCAATCTCATAACCAAACATCAACTTAACACATGTGGAGATGTTTCATGCTGTCATGTGATCTATCAATTAAACTTATCAATAACCACTCGATAGACAGATGGAAGATAATTGATAGTTTGTACTATACTGAATGAAGTTGAAATCGAATCATTTTGCTAAAATATCTTAGGACGATTACCATACATGAATTCACACTGTATATTTGAAGGGTTACAGAATAAGAAAAATGAGTATCAACACTCTACGAATTTTTATCGTTGTCTGACTAATAATAAGAATTGTCTTTAACAATGACTTCATATTAGCGTGACAAAACTATAGAGCCCTCCTTGTGTTTACTTCTCCCCCTTCTTGATCGACTACTGATCATTTCCCGGCGTCACAGCACTTTGTTCTGTGTTCGTCCATTGTGTTTTTTAATATTAGTTAGTTGAGGTATGTGATTTGTGTCTGAAATATGACATTGATCCATAGATTCACTAATTGTTGATTTCAGTGGCATAAGAAGGTGCAGGATTTCTCGACGGGATCAGCAAGTAATGTTTCGAAAGTTGTTGCTATATTCGTAACACTATACTAATCTATATCAACCGTCAATTTATCTTTACTTATTTTCTTTCGGTTCTTATTGCTTCTGTCACACACTACAGTTGCCTTCACTCATATTAGTCTTGTACTTCCAATGTTATTGATTTTCTCACAGTGAACCAATAAAAAATATGCCTACTCAGAGAGTTTTATGTATAAATTTAACGCAGTTCCTATTTTGTTTCGTCTGCTTTTGTTTATAGGTGTTCAAAAAATTGATTGCATTTTTTGAAATATGAATGGAAGGTTAGTAGATTGAGAGATTTGAATCACCAAACTTAATTATCAAATAAATCCAGTCAGAAGAAAAATGTAGACAATATGAAACAAGTTGCTTTTCAGTAACTAAACTTCAGTCTTACAGAAGGCAGTCAACAGACAAAGGAATTCAATGAATAACGCATATTCAGCTACTTGGTCAGATGTCAGCTTCCTCAAGTACCAAAAAATAGTTTACAAAAGAGTATTTAAACAAGTACAGTCTAAGTTAAGCAAAACTTTCTATTAACAACTAGCAGCAACGATCCAATATGCAAAATGTTCCTATTAATAACAGTAAATCAATTATCTAAACATGGCCTACTGTTTTCGTTCCCAAGCTCCGAACTCAATATTATTGAGTAAAATAAAGCAAAAAGGTGCGGTAAGATAATAGCACATAGGACTGACATACCATCCGAATTACTGTTAGAGGTTGTAGGATAATTATCCTCTGGAGAGTATGACATATATCTCTCATTTGTTTCAGATTCCTCAGACATCGCTTATAAAACAAAAATAAAACAGAAAGTGACACGCTAATGACAACATAGTCGATCTTCATTAACAAGTAAACGTTATATATATATATATAATCATTATCATTAGAAAAAGTTAACTGATTACCAGGTACTTGCACATGAACCACACTAAATGTGAGGGATAGTGATACTAGCCGGTTGCCCAAACCGAAGTACGTGGAGCGCAGTTCGAACCTGGGAGCGCTCGAAAGTCAAGTGCTGTGACCACTAGACAACCACACCACAAACCCCCATAAATATTAGCATGGAGTTATTGACCGCCGATCAGAGTTGTGGTACGAGGTCCAGCCTTCCTGGAAAAGTTAGGTGACATGGGCCAAAGTGAGCTGTAGTGGCGTACAAAAATTATTTGTCTTTCACTTGACCTTACGTTTTACCCTTACTTTATACTTCCTGTTCCTCGACTTGATTTATTCTTTTTGAACAATATTCGTAACATGGTTCACAATCGATCACAACAGAAAAGGTGTGTTCATTTCGTATACCACGTTAGAGCCTGCATTTCAGTATTTGTTTATACAAACCTCTCCACTTTGTCTTATCGAACAGTATTCTCAATATTCAGTCTTTTCTACTATCACAGCCACTACTTTACCCCTAGCTCTTGCAATTTGTCTGGTTATGTTCATCTTGTGTTAACATGTTACGACAAATTGACCCAACGTGCATCTGTACCAGGCTCTACACTGAATATGAGTGATTGAACCACACTTTCTTTCAGGGGTTCTGCTATCATAACCACTACTAACAAACACCAATAAATACTGTTAACAAGCCGAAGTGGAGGGGCTCGACCATATCACCAGTCAAGTGATGGTCCACTGGTTTAGCTACTGAGCTGTAGTTCCAATTATATTAAGAGGACAGTAACCACTGAATTGTTGTAACAAGTAGATTGAGTGATTTGTGCACAACTACTTTCAAAAATTGTCCACTCAAACACATGAGTTTTGACGAAAAGTCAGATACAGTTAATGAGATAAAAACTTAACATAATGGGGCTTCCATTATCTGGCGACTTATCACAATGAGTAAAGGCTGTCTATGAAAACGAATAAATAGAATTTTAACTATTAAAATGGCGTTAGAAATTCCAGTGACAAAGCCCAAGTGAACACTACTGATACCTTTCGTTTTGAAACACACCCAAGCTTGAAGGACTTAGTTAGAACTATGATGTATGTGATACAATTTAAATGCTGCTTTTTACAGCTGTAACTACCCTGTCTCAACCAACTCTTTAGGTGAGTTATTTCATTCCTCATTTGGGGAATTGGTTTAGCAACAAGAACCAGTTGATCTGTGGATACATTCGCTGGTGCCGGATTTTAATCAGTATGTTAACTATAAATATATTTTATATATCTTTACATCTACATAAGTAACAGATCAGGGACTTCTTGTCGTCCCATGCAATATATAATTCATAATCTGGTAAAATTTATACGTAATTTTCTCCATCCAAATAACACCCGGTCTAGGATGAGCGATACTAGCGCAGTATTAATAACTTAAAAACAGTACAGGTGAATATGTTAGGCTCTGGACCGAATTGAATCAGTGAGTCCTAATAGCATGTTAACGTTGTTGTAAACTCAGGTACAAGGAGGCAAAAAATACATATTCGCCACACAGATCTCATTCGATATATGTGAGGGCTGTGATATTAGCCGGGTGCCCAAACCGAAGCAGGTGGTTTTCTTAGGGGGCCACTCCCCGAGCCTTTGACCTGAAGGTCTGATCCACAAGGCAGTGGGGCATCGTAAGGAGACGCAGTATCGTGGTAGCCGGTGACCAACAATTGGTTCATACGCCATTTGTTCCCGCAGGATACCGGAGACCATGTGCACCATTGATTTGGAATCCAGTTAAAGCGCCGGGCATTCGCTTTTCGTCCTCTCAATTTCGTAAACAACAGTAATGCCACGAGAAGGCAGTGAGTAGGACTTCCCTGGCAGAGGCTTTATACGCGTGGCCATGTGAGAGCACTTCGATAGGGAGAGCGGACTCTCCCCCCTCTCGGTCGTACCAGGGCATTTGGGGGCACTACTAGATCTATTACAGCTACTTGGTAAAAACCTCACATTTAGCCTCCACAAACACACCCAACATATGAAGAGCCATAAGCTTCCATAAAACATAAGACAAAACTATAGTTGTGCTGAAGGAGTTAACAGAAAATAAGCAGAAAAAAATTTACTGCGAACTACTTACGGAGTTCAGATGATTTCCAGACAAACAGTCATGAAGTATGATGAACTATTACCGTCAAAATTTGACGGGCTGAAGAAATGAATGAACAAACCCAGAAAAAGATCAATAGGATTTGTATCAACACGCACAAAAATCAAACGGGAAAGATGCCCAAGGACGGTTGATGTCCTTCAAACCATATTCAGATATCATTTTATCATTTGGGGAAACTTAGACAATTATTCGAGATATTTAGTTTCTCAAGAGTTCTTTAGTCTGTATAATTACAAACTTTGACTATTTAAAACAGGTTTCTTTCAAACTTTAGATTTTTGTGATGAAAAATAGTCGTTTGATGTGAATTAATCCTCATAGCATGCAGTCACAAGAGGACTTAGTTCTTCTCTAAAGACTTACATCAACAATGACTATATGAATTGTTTTGATATTCTAGTCGTTTGTTCGATATCCCATATCTTTGTGTCGAGTTAATATAAACTGATTGATTTCTTTGTGTTCGTCTCCTGATGTTAAGCTACAGTTCAAGTCGACTGGTGTCTTTCAGTTTAGGCGGTATGACTTACCGGCTGTACAAATCCTAGTGAAGTTGACTGTTAAGGAATTTTCAGTATAAATGAATTTGTTCTCGATAACCTAAATTACCAGCTATCATGTTAAAAGTCGGTCGACTGACTGGTCGCAGTATCCAAGATTTGAAACTTTCAACAGAAATAAGCAGTGAGGAGGCAGTGGAAGAGGCGAATAAACTGATCAATCTATTAATTTATTAATTAGGTGGGAATATAAATTTTTAAAATATATGAAAATATCAAACGAACGGAGATGATAAGAGATAAGGTCATCTAGTGTGATTCTTACAATAATGAACAAAGAGAACAGATAAGCTGTGGTATATGGTGCTAGTGCGGCAATACATAAAGAGCAAATTTTCCGGTGCAAGTGAGTGATGAACAGGTAGTGCATGTGAAAGATAATAAACCATGTGTACGTACTTAGTTTGTAGTGTCGATTATTATGTTAAGCCAATATACTTATTCTAGCTTTCGGACAGCTCAATTTATTCATCCTACTTTAGACACATTCTAGCCTTGTTAATTATTTGCTTACCAATGTTGACTGTTTTTATATGAGCGCGTAGGTGTGTGTACACTTCTTATCACATGTCTGTAACTTACTTTCGTGTCACTATAAATATTGATTAACGCTTGGTTAAATGGGAGTTGGCTTACCCCCGTCTCCACTACGCGTCGTTTCGCTTCTCTCTATTCTACTCGCTTCATATACAAAATATATGTATTCAAAAGTTCATTCTCGTTATTTAACTTATTTAATTCCGTTATTCTCTAAACGTGGATTAAGTCGATACAGACATACGAAGTTAGGCAACATATACAATTCACGTGACTAAATTGAAGTCTGATCCCGAGCCACTTAAGTGACGAGCCCTTTGACAATATCGTCCGATCTAAATGGCGACAAAATGAAGGGCCCCACAAGTTATCTAGTCTCCCACCCTAATTATCAAGGACAGCGTTGTGATCATATAGTTCTGGAAAGCGTTCCAGATAAAGGAGACCCGTAGTGAGAAGATGTGCAGTGTTGCCTTCGCGACAGCTCTTTGATATGCAATTCGTCGCAGGTCTTCTCGTGAAGTAAAGTTTAAAGGTTTGAATGGGACACGTTTATTGGGAGGGGACTGAAGCGCCTAGGAAGTTTTAGATTATGATTAGTTCACGCTTAGTCTCCTGTTACCCAGTCAGTGCAAAATCAAGTGATGATTGTACTCATTATATCTGACCCTTTGACTTAAGACCCACTTTATTGTAAGCCCCTGTACTTGTTCAGGGAGACTCATCACCCCCATAAAAAAGAAGCCACTGAGACAGCATCATGGGTTTCAAAATGTGGCTAGGTGCAGTTCTTGGATGGTAAGGATTCCATGAGTCGACAAGCCTGGTTACTTTTGAATGTATAGGAAAGTGGCCTTTTACCCTGGACGGTTGGTGCTAATGTTGCAGCTTCCCATGATCAAATGACCTAGGTCGCTCTCCTCGGAGGTCTTGGACAAGTAATGACAGTGGTGAAAGTAGTCAGCGTGATGATATGCACAATAAAACATTTATACAAAACCGTGTATACTTAGCTTAGACAGTTTCTACTGTGAAGTAAATCATAGTTATAAGGCTGTAGTTGTCAAGATAACACTCATACCAAACGGCCACGTGTGTTGCAATTACCTGTTATGTTAACAGCATCTACCCCATTTTCATGATCTTTTGGAAGAGCGCATAAATATCAGTCTATACAGACTGATAAACTTAAAAACGGGTACATATAACTTCATGATTCATCACGAAAAATTATGCATCTATCAGTTACAGGTTATGCAATAGACCAATTTTGCGACTCTCCAGAGCTGTTTATACACTGCGTTTGCAAGATATCTTAATATATTTGCAAATCTCAGATCCATACTTTCACCTTAGCATCTCAACAGTGACACAGAATATTACTACGGGCTCATCAGTGAATTAAAAGATAAATTTAAAGGTGTTGTCAGACGAGGTGAGACTTGTGTCAGCCAGCTATAACGTAGGTTTAGGCACATATGTGCATCGGTCAAAGTTGACATATCTCATTAGCACAACAAGATGAACACCAAATCCATAGAAGCATTTACTTTAATGGAAGTAATATATCAAAGAAAGAGTGCATATAGGGATATGATACAGGGAGAAAGAAATGGTTCGTAGAAAGAAAGGCATAAAGTAATCTCACGGTATATAGGAAAACAGAGAGTGTATACACCTACTTCATTATGATCATTTATGAGCTATACCACTCAGTCTATAACCATTGGTTACGATAGTCACGCGGACCCCAACCAAAAAGTCTGCATCTACTTATACAGAAAAGGTAAGACCGGCAGGAAGTATCTGTATTTTTTCCACGAGAAGTGAATGTGTAAGCAGTTGCAAGCCACCAGAAAGTAGAAATCATTAGCAAAATAAACATTGTTATGAAACCCAAATCAGCTATTTCAGGAACAAGGCGAAATGTGTCTTTAGAAACAAAAAGGGTGGTCTTAATTTCGCTAATGATTCGGTTAATTCAGAAACATTACTTGAGTAAATTGTTGATGAAATTAGACTGCCAAATATTTTTAACCAAGAATGTATTTTACAAAATCACGTTCCAAAAGTGGTTTTACTTCTTAACAGAAACTTCATGCAGAGTATCATAGGAAACTAGATGTAAAAGGTTACGTCCTCTATCTGGTTATGAAAGAATACGATGCATTGTCTTTTCATCTTTATAAATTCGGTTTGTGTATATAATGCTTTTTCGAAATATTCCTCGGATCCAATACGAAACACTCTCAATTCTTCGCACAATTATCTCCGGTTCCCGTCGATTTTTTCCGAAATGTGAACTAAAGATCACTCTATCGCCCACGTTAAAACGTCGGGTTTTCGGATCTCATCGGTGCCCATCTACTGTTTTATGTGACAGCAAAACGTTAATAGTATGAATACTTTTTTAAAAGGACTTCGGCAGGGAGCTTTCCACGAGGGATCGTAGTGTTGGAAGTAGTTCTGTCGGCTGTTAAGAATCTGTGATTATCTGGTAGTTGTCTCCTCCTTCCAGTAATGCTCTTTTGAATGTTTTGATAAGGCGGTATGCTTCTCCATTCTGTTGGAGATGATAGGGTGGAGAGAAGAGATGCGCCATTCTATTTATACTACAAATGTGTTTGAATGAGTCCGAAATCAATTGAGAGCCACTGTCAGTCAAGAGGGTTTCCGTAACTCCAAAACAAGCAAACGAAGTTGACAACTTGTTGGTCGTTTCTGCGGCTGTAAGTTGGGCATAGTATATATTTCGGGCCACTTCATTAACGCATTTACAATAACTAGAAACTTTCCATTTTTACTGGATCACCATAATCTTCTTGACGTCTCTCCCAGAGTCTAGCAGGCCTATGTCACTGTTGTGTTCCGCATTCTGAAGGGATTCTGACACCATGCAGGCAAGATGGACAGTTTTGACACTTGTATTCGACATCCTTGTCCATTGAGAGCCTATTAACATAAATTCGAGCAAAGGATTACATCTTATACCAAAGTAACCACTGCGAAATTGCCTAGACGTATGGTTTCTCACTGTTGTAGCCGGTTAGCTGTATGACCAAAGACCCAATTCTCTGATCCAAATACGGCAAGTAATGGTTTATGTTTGAACCATGATTTCGTCCTGTCGTTGTCAATGACCTGTTTGCATGGAAGATCGTTTTTAGATCCATCTACAAAAATATGGGAGATAACTGCCCCATTATCATAATTTAAGGCAACTGAGGCAACCATAATAGGTAAAGAAGGATCACAATGCTCAAAAAAGGATTAGAGGATAAAAGTTGCCTGATTTTCTCGAAAGCTTTACTTTCATCAGCTTCTGGAATTTGTAAATATGCGTCTGATAAATCCACTCTTGCAAAATACATGCTACTGTTCATCTTGGCAAAAAGATCCTCAGGTCAAGGTAAGAGATACTGACAGGATTATGGAGCTTAATTTAACCTATCGGAGTAAATCGCACATAAGCGAATGCTGCCGTCGGATGTTTTGACTCCCAATATCAGCGCAGCCTAATCTGGGAAGTTTACAGATCCAATTACACCCATTTTATGAAGCCGTTCTAGTTCCTGTTCAACAATTGGGGAGGTAGCCAAGGACAGAGATCTTTTAGGTCGATGAACGAGAGTAGGTCCAGATCTGAGGGTTACTTATGCTTCGTGCCTTCTCCCAGTCTTTCTGCAACTACATGGGGTTGTCCATCAGCCACGCCATTCTCCTCGTTCTCTCCTAGTGAGTTATCAGTTCTGATTCTGCTGCAAATGTTGTTAATGGATTGATCCACTAATTTTAGTGTTTTTATAAGATCTCACCCTAATAAATTGGATACCTGTTTACTGTTCCATTCATCATTACATTGCCTTCGGAAACAGTAAATGATGCTTCTGACTGTTTAGTATGGTTTGTGTGTTACTTTGGAGTGTTATTTGTATATTGACAATGTCAGTTCCGACGACCCACAGTATGATAGTTCTGAGAAGTAAATCATTTGAAGATAGGCCCTGAATAAATGTTATTTTCCATGGGCTACAGAGTG